CTTTGTAAAACAAGGCATTTTGCAGATAGAAAGTACTACAACAAAACTAAATATTTATTATTATAGAGAAAAAAAAAATCTGTGTATTCATTGATAGATTTCTTGCCTTGTCCTAAGACATCAAGAACCACACATACTCTTTTACTCACAGCCCCAAAAGTTTTGTCTCCTTCCATAGAAGATGAAAACAAGTTCATAATGCATTATTCTAAAAAAAGCCTTTGGTTTTGAGCAATTTCTTCCTAACATTTCTCAGTTAATGTATGATTGTTGTCCTGAATCATGAAGGTTTGCAGACAAAACCTCTACCCCTTTTAGACTTGCTTGCCTGATTTACTTCACATTTCGACATTTGTAATCAGCAGGGGGTTTCACCAATTTGCATGAACACACTAAAACAGGTAGCAGGAAAAAAACTAAGTACTTCATAAGAACAGCAACATTCTTTCCAGGTCAAACCAGCATCACATTTTTGCATCACAAGGTATACAGCCTGACAACAAGTGAGTAAGCCCCAAAATCAAAATACACTATGAAGCACAGACCAAGGTTGTTAAAAGAGCACCGATGCTTTTAAATAATCTCAATTGCCGTACACCAGTTTGCATTGCAGAGCGTGAGCTTTAGAGTTCAAGGGGTTTTTTTGCAAACTGAGTCATGGTGAGCAAGCAGCTAAATCAGCAGTCGAAGCTGAGTCTTTTCTACTGAAAAGAATTTAAAAGCACTGAAATTCCAGCTGATATTAGTAAGAAGAAAAGACTTCACCTGAAAGTTTCAGGTGTTGAAATCAGAAAGACATGATCAGCTATGCTCACCTTCAAGAGGATATAGGGCTAGAGGGACCTTAGCAAACTCAGTAGCATTATTCTTGTATCAAAAAATGCACTTTTATTACATGAGAAAAAGAAAACAAAGACAATAAATACGAGCTGAGTTCTGTATTTTTCAAGTCCTCAGCCTCTGACACAAAAGCGTTCTTGTGCACTGCGTCAATGGGGCAGACCCTCGACAAACTCATTACAGAGAGAGAAGAAACACTGGGAATCCCTGAATGTTCTTTCACCCACCTTGCAGGGCAAGTACAGCAGTGTGGTTGTATTTCTGAAGAAGGTACTTCCTCATCAGAAACCGTAGTGAAACCAAACCAGGCATCATCTAGCCTTATTATTTTTTGAACAATTAAAAATGCATGATGCAGGTCAGAGACTGTCAGAAAATGCACGGCGTCTACCTTGAATTGCAAGGATAAAATGGAAGACAAGACAGCGGTAAGCAGTTGGGGAGCAAGTACCAGCAGAGCTATGGGTAGTCACAACCTTAGGTTGTGGTTAGGTAGATTTTTGTTAGGCTTTGGATATATTTTCCCCACCCTGCACATCCACCCAGGGGAGCTGATTCTTCACCCCAGTTCACCTCCTTTCTTCCATGTAAAACTTTCCGCTCGAAGCTATGAAAATCTGTAAACTACAGAGCTCGGCATCGTTCACTTTTGCCAGTTCAGTGAGATGCAAGGCCACAGCCTGTAGCTGGTTGGTGGTGGTTGGAAGCACCAAAAGGGAAATTATTTTCTTTCCCCTCTTCACTGCCAACCTGCTTGGGTCTAAAAAAAGAAAAAAAATAAAATTAACAACCCAACCAATCAACCAAAAACCAACCCACTATTTACCTGACACATTATTATGCTTTCTCCTCTGTCTTCACAAGGCTTCTCATCCAGATCACGTTTTGTAACACTGAATATTCTTATTTGCTTGTATCTCCATAATGCTTAAACATCCCCTGTTTCAGCACTGTCCCTGTAGGTACAGTACAAAGGAGAAACAAACTTCATGCAAGTTGAGTACGCTACTACTGTAATCTCATTTCAGTATCTTCACATAGGCTGGGTTTTTCAGAATTTTTTTTAAAAAAGCGCCTTTTGTGTGATTTCGGCATAGCTAGCTTCTACTGTTGGCATCTGAATTACTGGCAACCTTCTGCCCAAGCTCTCTTTACTTCCTAGCATGGGTAATCAAGCTTAATTTTGAGATGATGGTGAGGTGGGGTGCGTCCCTTTTTTTTCCAATAAGACATTAAGAAGGGTCCAAAATTTGGCTAACACGAAAACCCCGTTTTGGCATCAGACAGTTAAAATTAGAAAGGTTCCATAGAAGCTCTAGGTTTTCAATGCCTCTGAAGCCTTTGATTCAAAGCAAACAGACCTAAGAGGTTAGTTAAAAAAAAAAAAAAAAAAAAAAAAACCTGCTTCAGCAGATACCAACCAGCAGCAGTTTTCTTCTATTCCAACATGAGCTAGGTGGACTCAGTGCTTTATTTAAAGTCATGTCTGCAGGTGCCTACATTTGGCTGCAGTCAAAAGACTCACATTGTTTTAACTTCAGCCTTTGAAGTAGATACAGCTCTGGATCAAAGGACCAAAAGAGCAACATAGGAATACACTGCAGCAGAAGTCACTGCTGTGACAAAATTTTGCAGGAAATCATGCTAACCCCTCACGAGTTCAGTACTTGGTTCTCAGGTTCTTTAGCGCACCGGATCTACCTATTCATGATTAGTGCAAACCACATCCTAAAACTGAGGAAAAAAAGAAGTCAGAAAGCTTGAAGAAGGTATGTAGAGTGTGTGCAGGATCCAGACTCATTGCTCAGAGCCTGAAGTCTTCTGGGAAGCCTCATTGGTGTAGCAGAGTGTTTCAACATCCAGAAATAAAATTTAACATGGAGGAGGCAAGAAAGGAGTGCAAATTTCCTTCTGCACAGCTTCTTTCTTATTCCCGTGGCTGCTGTGGAAACAGCAACTAACATTTTCAGTAAACAGGAGAATGGTTACAGTCTAAAGCTCAGCACCAGACAGGGCAGGGGGAAGGTTAAGAGTAAGCTATCAGTTTCTTTTCCTCCTTCTCCTCAACAATTCTACCTATGCTTCAGAAGGCCCCTTCACCCGTTGTGCAGAAACACATCCAGATCCTGCAGCCACCACGTGCAACACACGGCCACTCACCTTCTCCCAAGGCAAGTGCTTTGCAGAGTGCTATTGCAAAAGTCCACAACCAGAGGAGACTTCTGGCTGAATTTGGACTAGAGATCCATAAAGAGCGTTCGCGCTCTGTGCACCTGACCAAGACTCGTGGGACTTGCGAAACCTCTGAATGGGAGTGGGAAGAGAGGAGAAAGTTATATGGAAGCTGGAAGCAAAGGCATCTTCATCCATCTTGCAAACTAACAGCAGATAGGTGGAAGGGGTGGAGATCAACCCCACTTCAGACAACTAAAGACATCTTGAAGGAAATATTTTGAGTTTCTCTACATATAAGACTTCCCTAGTATGAGAGGAAGAACCAGCAAGACTTATGGAAGAATGAAACAGGAAACAGAAGAATATTTTCTTAGCTATAGCATTAGAGGGATGACCTACAGCTGCTAGGTAGTTCCCCACATTGCGCTCGGATCTGTCCTCTGGCCCACAACCACAGACAGCACTGAAAATGCTCAGTTAATACTAATATAGAAGCATGAAGTTTTTAAAAAAAAAAAAAAAAAAAAAAAATATAGAAACTTAACAGAGAAATCCTTTCAAACCATAGGTACTGACTGCACTTTCCTACTGGATTTGCACCAGTATTCAACAAATCCGCTCTACTTAACAAAGGCCCTTTCTATTGGAGCTTCAAATGCAATTCCCAGTTCCATTAAGGAGTCTTTTTTTCCCCCTTGTCTACCAAAAAATAAACTAAAAAGGCTAAATTACAGTCATGCAGCTGTAAGCATGTTACCAAAGTGCAAGATAGAGATCTCATCATGATGCTTGCACACAGCCTGCTATGAACACATGCTGGGGAGTTTTATGAGCAAGACTGTGCTGCCCATTACAACACTATAGAGTTAAAAGCAGGACCTTCCTAAGACCCTGACTTTGGAGTCCTATCTATACTTGGCTCCTGAGGGACAGATGTATGTGCTAAAGTCCAAAACAGGAATTCGTAAATACATTGCTGATTCCTTGGCCACAAAGACCATATATTCTACTGAAAGGGGACTGCATTACCAAGGGCCTGAAGCACTGGTTCTGTGAAACCTCTTGTAGGTAACACACACCTTCAAGACTTCCCCCAAAGCTAAGGACTCTGGTTCGCTACTCCCATCTTTGATAACATAACAAGCAACAGAAAATACCTTCTGAAAAGGGATTTTTAAACATAGTCTTTATTCAGCATGACAAAGATCCCCATGACATCTTTTCCAACATTTTTCCATTCAGCTCTTTGCATCCAGTTTGAAGATCATCTCTTCCTGCCCAGTTTTGCCTCCTCATTGAAGGAGAACCATTAAAGCAGACCTCATTCTTCTGTAGCTTCCAGTTCCCTTTGTCACACGACCTTCCAGCCAGGACCTCAAGGCTGGCTACCATACTTTTAAGTCCTGGCCTGAAAGACAGCTTTGTGGCAGCTTAGTAATTTCTTTCAAAAAAGCTGCTGTGGCACCTGGACCAGGTCATTAGGGACCTCACCACCCTTTCACACCCTTGCTGAGTCTTCTGTGTTGCTCTGTACCTCCCAAAATTTCTGCAAACCCAGTCCATCAGGGAGCTTATAAGATAACAGAAAGTGCACGAAACTGTTTCAGAGCACAAAGACATACTTCACGTTGGCTGTGGACAGTGAAACTGATAACTGGCTTACATACAGCAATGAAGACTTCAGTTAGCCATTGACAAGTTTCCTAACAGTAAACACTAGAATAACTTGCCTAGGAAAGTCTGGGGTCTCCATCACAGGAAACTTTTGAGGAACAGGTTAAACAAACACACTCTGAATACTTCTGATACAGATGACATTGGCTTAGGGTACAGAGGCATAGGACTAGATCATCTCTCACAAACCTTTCATCTTATATTATTTGTTAAAATGGTGTTTGCGGTCTGGAAAAGATACATACAAGAAGAGGTTAAAACACGTAGACACAGATGATAGAACCACATTTGAGGATAGGTTAAAATAACTAACCTGTTCGAGACTGCAAAAGAGCAAATGCCAAGTTGTTCCATTTTATATCACATACTCAGTCCTAGGATGACTGCTTGCCAAGGCTAGGAAAGGACAAGCCCCAGCCTTGTGGTACCAGCAGTGGTGTAGGCACAGCGACCCAGTAGGAGACGTGGGTGGTGCAGAACACCCTCCTGCAGCACCTACAGACACATCCTTGGGTAAAGTAGCAGCAAGAAACAACAGGTTCGTCTTGGTAGTGCTGTACTCTGAAGGCCCCTTGTCAGAGATCTCCCTTCTGCATACTCAAATAAACACTGTACCACTTGGCAACCTCTAGCAGCGTTTTCCTGTAGGTAGATCAGGATTAGGAATTGGGGCCCCAACTTTCAGTTCCTTTCTGCAGACAAGAGATCACTTCACTGAAAGCAGTAAATAGGCAGGTGTGTTAATGAAGCTCTCTAGAGTCTGACTTGAAAAACGTAAGCCCATTTTTTCCATGCTGTTCTTGTTAGTCTTATACCTAACCAGATACATGTTTGCAATCCTTGATGAAAAGCCTTTCTGTTTGTAATATTACAGAGAATTATGGCAAAAAGTGAAGTCCCATGGATTACACTTAGTTTTCATGAGTACAATGTAAAATGAAATGAATGAGAGCCAGGAGTTCCACTCTTCTCACAGCACTGACTGCCAGAAAAATAAAAATACTCCTGACTGTTAAAGCTCTGAAGTGTTGTAGGAATAACTAAATAGTACTGTCATTCTGCACACTTCAAGCCACAAAACCCACAACCGGTATGAAACTAATTCTGTTCCATTCCTTACTTTCAAGACCTGGCTCTGAGGTAATTAATACTTCATAATAAACTGCTTGCAAAGCATGTTCCAGGGGCTGCATAGGGATGGTGCCAAGAAAAGAACAAATTAGGGCCCAGGCAGACCACTTTAGCCCAAGAATGAAGTGTGTCAAGTACTGAACATACAGCCTCCAGCCATTAGACTTTGCATCTGAGGTGAGACTTAAGAGTAGAAAATCTCTGGCTCAGGTGAACCTCGTGTCTGGTTTGAAAGCCCATCAAACATATGTCAAACACATAGCAGAGATGTAGATGGAAATGGTGCTCCTTTTCACTCTGTCCTCAGGTGACAGTAATAGTCCTCATCAGCTGAGAAGAAACAAGTTTTTGCACTGGCCATCTCAGAAAAGGGTGGCACCACTGGGGTCCACACAGCCCATGGCAACCACTTCATTTTGCTTTACTTTGCACACATCTTCATAACACAGAAAACAAACGAGACATCAACAAGAACTCCTTCCTTGTCCATAGAGACTTTACAACCTTGCTTCTCCCTTAATACTGTAACTGCTCATAACTGTTCCTCATCCCCTTTTTCCTTCCCAAACAAACACAGGTAGGATTTCATCTTTAAAGAAACATTTTAATAATGTCAGACAAATCAAAGGACGAAACCATACTTTATGGAAATACTTGATTCCATCTTCTTAATCTTTTGTTGTTCAAATCTCACCGAGGAGTTTGCATGATTGACACCAAACCCGTAAGAATCAAAAAGAAGATTCCATCTGTTGTAGAAAGTCAGCTTTACCAACAGAGATTGCTCATCTTTGCAAATATCAGGCACTTACAAAGATCATCAGTTTACTGGAACAAAACTGAAGATATGCATTAATGACTAAAAGAGAATTACAATTCTTTTACTTCCAAGGTGCTGCCCTACGAAAAACAGGTAGTCCAGGCCAATTAGAGGGAAAAAAAAAAAAAGAAAAAGGATCCATTAAAAGGAAAAATGGCTCATTTTAAGACTACATTCTGCAGGCAGGTTAATCAGAGGCTACAGTCCAACCAAAACAGCCTAAATTTTATGTATGTCCTTGTACTTAACAATTTATTTAGTCTTCAGAGATAGCAGAAGGGAAATGGTAAACTGGCTTTCCAAGAGAGGACAGATGCAGACGACAGGGTCCCTCCATGTTACTACTGCTGTAGTAATCATGACCAGCTTGCATTTGAGTGCTGTCTACCACAGTTGTTCTCACTGTTCCCATGAGAAACCAACTGAAACGCCAATTTTTTTGGTCACTTTTGTAAGGTCACTTGCACAGAGGTGAGAAAAATGAGGTCTGCTCAATATTGCCAGTGAGCCCCTTCAGACTATTAATACTAACCAGATGATAAAAATCAGCTGAAAGTCTACTGGCAGTTCTGATCTACCAGTCCACATGAGTAAACAGCAAACTAGTGGGACTGTGCACCCCTTTTGTAGTTGCAAAACATGGTAAAAAAGAAAAGTTATAAGAGGGTTCCTGTAATGTAAGCAGCCTACAAAGACTACATTTTACTAGACTGATGAGACCGTTATCTTCCAGTTGAGTTCAATTCCACAGTACAAGGCAAACTCTAAAGCTACGGCTTTTATTTTTTAATAGAATTTCAGTATTTAACTCTGGCAGATTTAAAAAAAAAAAAAAAAGATCTTTGAAGAATTTGAAGAGTTGCCTCAGCTAAACAACTTGCTGATTAACACAAAGTCTTTAAAAAAGGGAAGTAGGTTTGAGGGAAAGGGAAGCAAAGTGGGGGAAGATAAAGAAATACTCAAATTATAGATGGTCCAGCTGTACGTCTCTAACAAAGAGTTGGGGGACGTCATTTTCATACTGTGTGGTTGCATTGATAATAGGTTTGTCTACAAATTCAATCTCGCATGCCTGGGCACTGCAAGGAGAATGCTCCAGCTCCAACACTGTTATGTTGTTTGGCACCGATGAAACAAGTATATTCCTTGGAACAAAAAGGGTCAACTGAGGACCACGGGCTGGCCAGTAGCGACCAAGATTAAAGCCATTGATCCAAACTTGCCCCTGTTAAGAGAAAAAGAAAAAATAATGACATTTTAGTAATTTGACAGAGATCAAATGATGAAATAGCTTTAAACACAGCGCTCTTCACATAGTAACTGTATTTCCTGCATCCTTCAGTTTGATGGAACACAAGAACAGAAAATCTGTTCAAGAAAACAATAAAGACAGTCCTAAGAATCTATAATCCCTGATGAGTTAAAGCCATTAATAATATTTTAAAAGAAAGTGGTCAAATATTGCAGTATTTCCAAATATGACAATACTTAGAAAAACAGATTTGCAGGTTCCTGGCCCAATTTTGCACCAAGTTTCAGACCAAAGCAAACCTGAAAACAGTATTTGCTTGAAGCTGATTATTAAAAGGAGAAAGAATTTACAAAAGAAAAAAGAGCTCCTAACTCTGTTGTGGCTGTCTGTACAAGTGTAAGACTACATTATCTTGGTAGTCCCTTCCTGTTGGGTGAAGAATACACAGCTTGTCTAGACACATGAAATTCAGATGTCTATTATACTGGTAATAGCTTAGTCAACAAAAGAACTTGTGAAATCATGCTACAAGAGAGTACTGTATTTTGTGGTTGTTACCTACAACCATTAAAATCTTTGGGGGTCTGCTAGCATTAATTTCAATTCAATAAAATTGTTGTTAACTTGGCATACCAACTCTTTAAATTACTTTTTACAGTGGAGGTGGTGTTGTAGAATTCACTTTCTAGCTCAGAGAGAATCCAATACATAGCATTAGTAGCAAGGCTTGCTAAAGCCTTAGGCCACAAGCTGTGAATTTTCACCCTGCATACGCTGACCGCATACTCAACTCAGCTATGTGAAGGAAGGCCCCCAAAACCGGGCAAACCAGAAAGATAAGGTAGGCACAACCATCAGCAGAAGCTGCATCCATTAAGATAAGAAAAGGAACAGCCTGCCTGGAGACAGAGAAAGGATCCAGTGAGGAACAAGAAGACCCCAGACCCAATTATTGCTGTTGGTCTGAACCATCACACAAGAGGAACTTAAGCTGTAAGGGTATAATTGCCCAGGGATTTCTTTGTTTGGGGTCCCTCTCCGGAGGCACCCAGCTCAAGCTCTTTTTTACTCCTGTACCACTCAAGGAATTCAAATGGCATTATGTCGTGTTGGAGAGACTGCTTCAGGGAAACCTAGGGTCGAGCCTGAAGGGGAGAAAGCACCTGTGAGTGAGGGTGTCCGTGAGTGAGAAGTCGAAAAGGAGCACCCGTCGGCTTGGTGGAGCTGCCCGCTGCGAAGGGACTCTGTCCCTAGCAGTTAAAGTCTCGGGTGGTGTGTGCACAACTCCCTGAACGGCGTGAGAATGCTGGGGCAGCAGCTTCTCCATTAACAGTGTCCAGAACCACAAGATCAAAATACTGTTCTAACATTATAAATATCTTAAGTTCAAAAGATAAATCAAAACTAGGCAAGAGGAAAAAGAAAAAAGTCAAAACAGTCATTTATACACCACAAAACAGACACACTGAAGTGACGCAAATGCAGACTTTTCCAATATAAATTGGTGAGTTGCAGAATGTTCGGTAAAACTGTAAATGGACTACTACTGAGTTGAGCTGAATTTTGCTTCATTAAACAAGACATAAGGGAGGATATACAGCTGATGTGGACAAATTTGCTTTTACTCCTCCTCAGTGTCTTTTCATCTTACATTAGACAAGAGTTCAGTGGACAAGAAAAGGGACATGAACAGATAACTGCATCTGTGTTTTCCCTCGTGCTTTGGTCTTTGGTAATCAGAATATAGAGGAAAAACAAACTCATGGCATTGATGTACACTGATAAAAATAATAAAATAATCTGAATCAAGGGAAAGTAAGGACTTCTACTGCACTCCTGGTGATTTCTAAAATTGCCTGGGATAGCTGAAATCAGAATACTTCTAAAGTATTTACAGAAGCACAATTGTAATCTAGTGAGTATTGCTGTTCAAGCTGGTTTGGAGGTATTTTTCTTGTGTTTTCTCTCTTTCAAGTATTTATTAAAAGAAATTTTATGAAACTCACAAGAGAAATCTTACAAGGAGCTGGTGCATTTGCAAATGCAGGTGAGTTATTTCAGCTCTGTATCCACTTCCGTGTTAGAAGATCCTATCTTGCACAGTTCTGCCAAGGTGTTAATAAACTTTGACCTCAAACTTTTTTTTTTAATTTTTTTTTTTAAATCAAGTTTATCTTGCTTTGTGGCTTGGTTTTGCTGTATTAAAAGGCAAGAGAAGAGCTATTTATTTAAGCTCACTACTGTGCTTCTGTAGTAGTTTTAGAAGAAAACATGGCATTAATGCAACCTCCCCACACACAAGATGAATTAGTGAATGTACCCACCAGGCAGCAGCCCACCTCCTACAGAGAGTGACGGTAACCCTGGAGGAGGTAGGATTTTACTGTAGGAATCAACTGCACTAGAGTTCTAATGCAGGAGATATAATCAGACACTTCTCTGTTCCTGATCTTAATCAGTCACTGGTTGTAACTCATTTTTCCAGTAAAGCTATGAAGTTAATTTCTCGATTCCAAACTGTCCTTATTAACATTGCAGTTTCTAAAGACTGCAGACTCAGGAATTTGTATACCCTAGACCAGCAAATCCTGCCACTATACATACTACCAATAAATATGCCCTGGACAGAAATCAAGAACAGTCCTGACTCCAAATGCTCTTTTCTGTTGAAGGAAAAAAAAAAACTTCCGATAAATCTAACCATACAGTCAGGGGCACGCACACTTAAGGGCATTGTGCTTCCTCAAGCAAGGGTGGAGGAAGTTTTATTAACAGTGAAAGGTCTAAAAACCACTGAAGGCAAGCAAGCTACAACATAGGTCATGACTGCTAAAGCTGCACCCTTCTTCCACACTGTCCAGCATAACATGTACCTTGTCTTAATACTCAAAGGCAGGATCAGTATTAGAACTATATGTTTTCTTGGTAAGTGGTGTTTCCATGGTTTTCCAACTACTCAAACAGGTGGGTTTTAACCCCCATTAAAAGTCCCTCTCCACACCTTGGCATCAGCAATTTATACAGCACCACTCAAGGAAATAAGGCCCAGACCAGCGGGACCTGAACGGAATTTAAACCCTTATGGCCCTCTGCCTTAAAGGCATTTGCTCATTGGTAAAGTCATCTGGAAGTCTCAGTTTCCACATCCAGTATCACCTCAACCTTATTACTCCTGGGTAGCTTTTTTAAAACTTTGGTCGAATCCATATAAAGCTTGAAGGATCAACTCAATAGCCCTACTTATAGTTTGCCTAGGATCTCTTCACCTTGACTGTTTTAGAGGGTATACAAACGATGTAAAACAGAGGTTTCTATATTGAGTAGATGAGAGGAAAAGACTCCCACCAATACATGAGAATTCTTGCATTCATTTGCCATTTCAAAGATGAGTTTGCCAACAGGTAGGTACGGTCATCTTGTGTCCTGAAGATTTGATTCACAGGGTCACAGAATATACTGCAGAAGTCTCAGATTCCAGTTACTGTGCAAAGAGCTATTTTTGGATTTTATTCAGTGATTGTGTAAGATAGTCCCTGTTCCTATATATGTGCATAAGTCAGACTTCCTCATCCAAGCTCAGTGCCAGCAACACTAAGTGCCTGCAATGAATCAGTCTTCTGCATATTGGGAAGTGCTTTAACCACTACAATACTGTAGACAGATCACCAGCAACTCCTTCTCCTGCTCTATTTGAATAGCAGTAAATTGTTTCAGAAAAGGAATAATTTTGCTACCTAACACTATCACAGGCACTTCCCTGAAGCCTGGACTTAAATGCTTAGGCCTCCAAGAGGAGCGACAGTTCAGTGCACACATCCTGCACTCTGTGCCTCCCACCAGCTAGTTGAACTGGTCCTTACCCATCCTGCATGCTGGCTGTTTCAAACTGCTCCAGCTACGCTCCAGCCCTATGAGAAGTTCCCGTTAACAGAGATCTGCCCACAAGCTTCTCACAGCAGCGCTCTCTGATCTGTTCAGTCCAGTTACAGGGTAACCTCCAGAAGACAACCAGTAACATCTTCCATGCATTGGATCCATATCTACAGGCACAACACCAGAAGTTGTGTCCAACGCTCTCTATGCTTTGTAACAGGATCCATAGTTCCTCACACAACACTGCAAATACATTCTTTGTTACTTTTAATCAATATAAACAGGAAAGTGCCCTGTAGCATGTCACTTCCTCCAGAAAAAAGTGCTTTATCTCAAGGCATGTATTCACTCCCTCCCTCCAAAACACTGCTTCTGCTCCACATCTCAAGACACACACAAAAAAAATCCAACACAACTAAACACAGCATTTCTAAATAGCCTGACAGTTCATCTTTCTCACTATTGAAAAACTAGGGTTTGGGGTTTTTTTTTTTGATGCTCCACTTTCTAGCCCAATACCATGTATCTTTTGAATATGTTCCTCATCTCTTAATGGTTTATCTCCAGATTTGTTTAAAGCAAAGAATCCATTTCCTAGTTGTCTAAATGTATATGAGACACCCCACCACTACAACCAACTTCTACCCATCCAAGAGAGGTAGAGTTTGATCATCCATAGAAGTTTCAGTAGCTTTTTGAGTAGACTTCAAGTTTTTACAGCAAAATGTTGTACCTTTGTCCAGCCAGGAAACTTGACATAGGTGTCTTGAGGCAAGTCTGGAATCCCTCCAGGAACTGAAAGTCTACCAGTGTAAAAAGTAGGTGCTTCATAACTTAGAGGACTGCCAACAGATCTCTCTGGTTCGTCAAGGTGTCCATTAATGTCATGGTTCACTGCTCCATCTACGTCTAGAGGATAGATTTCCCATTCAATGAGTGTATCTTGATCAAGAGTTAAATTCGAAACTAGACCCTAGGAGGAAGAAAAAAACACCACCAAAAAATAACATAATTAGCTGCGTGTTACTGCAGTGAGTTGGCTGCAACTATAAAACAGTCAGAAATAAAAATTGAATCAAAGTATTTGCAACAGCTGCCAATCTGTATGAAAAAAACAAGCATCTGGTCTTCACCAAGTTATAAGCTTTCCTTAAGAATAAAGGGTTTCATTTATCCTCTATGAAAGACTTGTTCCTCTTCAAGGTTTTGAGCTTCCACTGATGCCCAAGTTGTTTTGGTTTGGTTTTTGGGTTTGGTTTGGGTTTTGTTTTTTTTTTTTTTCCAAACTTTTTTTCCTGTAACTGTGAAAATTTCTGTTTTACTTTAACATGAACATGATTCCAAAACCTGGGGCTTAATAAAAAGTAGAAAAAACATTCAATATTGTAAGTTTGAGATACCATCAAGAGATTTGGTAACACTGAGTCACTAACCAAGACATTAACCTGCACAATAGCAGAGAAAGCAGTATTTACTTCCTACAAATCCGCTACAGCCAAAAGACAGTATCACAAAATCAAAGCACGTGCTTTTTGACCCCAATTCAGTGAAATACTTCAAGTTTACAGTCAGCTTCAAGCCCACGAAGTCCTGTTTCATTTCTATGGAACTATGTGTGCAGCACACCAGGGTACTCGCACAATGAATGCGACAGCAAGGTAAGGTCATGATTTACAAAGAGTGAAAGGAACATTAAGTTACCCCTGCACACCCCCTAACTGTGTTATAATAATAATTTCTAAAGTTGTGCTTCAGTGCAATGCAAGGGGTTGATTTTAAACCAAAGCTGCTACATCCATATAATCGCTTGGATAGACCCTGCATAGAAGCTGTTTTTCAGTGCAACTTAAGTTCTGTTGCAAACACCAAATGTCAAACAGGAACAGGCAAAACCACATTTTCTGTGGCCTTGGAGAGCTGATAGTATGCCATGTGTCTGTTCTGATGTCTAATAAGCATTGCACAGGCTCCACAAGCCTCATCATCAGTAAAAGCACTAATTGGTTTTCTCTTCCTTTACTTAGATGCCCACTTTACAGAACTGGAACTTATTTTTCTTATATTAAAATAAAATAGCTGTACAGAGTTAAGTGGCAAAGCTTTTCTATACAACCTAGACTTTAATCTGTCTACCAATGAATTGGAAGTAATGCAACATTACTTTAGCCCAAACTTTCTAACCTGCCTCCCTAAACCCTTAGAAGTAGCTACTAAGCATCCTTACTGCATAAGAATGCATATTCAATGGTCCAGATATGGATATAAATCTTCCAGGTAAAACAACGATATAGACAGCAGTGAGCATGTGAAAAAAATACAGAAAAAACCAGAAACCGCACTCTTCCTTCCTTTGTGTCCTTCAACAACAAGACTTAGATCAGCAGGATCTTTTAAAACCAAAACCCTTTTAAGATTCCTTCCCAAAAGCTAGATGCCTAGTTCAATTTCAAGCTCAAAAAAGTGACAAAAACCCCAGCCAAACAAAACCCAGAAAAGCTACCCTATTTGCTTAAAAATGTGAGGCTTCACAAGTTAGGAACCTCTTCCCCTAAAGTTACTTTTGAAAGCACAAAATATCTAAAACCCAAGGTATTAATATTCCCAGTTTTCAAAATCAACACAAAGAGCAGTGTCATGGAGGGCTTCTATGGGAAGAAGCAATGCACATTTTTCAAAGCTACCCAAGAAAGGGTGCCTACATGGAATCATCCTGCATTTACGATGCACAGATCTACTAAGCTTGCTTTCACTCTTTAATCTTTAAAAGGTTGAAACCCTGGTATAAGTGTGAATTTCAGCTCAACCACAGCAACACTGAGCACCTCCCTAATCCAACCTCTAACCCTCTATTCTGTTACCTTAATTTAGCACTATGTATATAGGTTCCTTATCACTTGGCCTTTTATTAAATAAATAAATGCAACATTTCTGTGGTGAAGACCATGGTGAGGCAGGCTGTCCCCCTGCAGCCCATGGAGGTCCACGATGGAGCAGGTGGATGTGCCCTGAATGAAGCTGCAGCCCATGGAGAGCCTGCGCTGGAGCAGGCTCCTGGCAGAAGCTGTGGCCTGTGCAAGGAGCCCATGCAGGAGCAGGTTTTCTGGCAGGAGTTTTAAGCCCGTGGGGGACCCACGCTGGAGCAGTCTGTTCCTGAGGGACTGCACCCCATGGAAAGGACCCACACTGGAACAGTTCTTGAAGAACTGCAGCCCATGGAAAGGACCCGTATTGGAGAACTTAATGAAGCACTGTATCCTGTGGGTGGGATACACAGAAGAGTAGTGTGAGGAGAAAGGAGTAGCTGAGATGAAGTGTTATCAACTGCCCACATCCTCCATTCCCCATCCCCCTGCACCACTCAGGAGAAGAAGTCAGAAGAGTCAGGAGTGAAACTGAGCCTAGGAAGAAGGGAAGGGTGAGTGGAAGGTGTTTTTAAGATTTGTTCTTATTTCCTGTCCTCCTACTCTGTTTAAATGGCAATAAATTAATTTCCCCAAGTCAAGTCTGTTTTGCCTGTGATGGTAACTGCTGACTGATATCCCTGTCCTTATCTCAGCCCATGAGCTTTTTGTTGTATTTCCTCCTCATCTTGTTGATGGAGGAGGAGTAACAGAGTGGTTTGGTGAGCACCTGCTAGCCAGCCAAAGTCAACCCACCACAGCCGCTCGTGTGGGGAGGTGACAATCCCAAAGTGTAGTATGGACCCAGAAGCATTCGGAAGCTTTCTGATAATTATTTCTAACACCTGATCAGTCCAAATCTGAACGGGCAATTTTGCATGGTAAAGTGGTCGTGAGACAGCCTTTCCTAGTCACACTGAAAATACTGCAAGGGTACGCTACTGACAAATTAAATGGGACATGGAAGAAGATACAAAAGTGTATGTATATATATACACACACAAACACAAATACAGCCCCGGGATTTACAAGGCTCAAAGTACAACCAGGATCTAGACAGATTACCAACCCATTTCTGGAGTTTATCCAAACAGTTTTGCACCTTTTAAAATGTTAGCTATAGGCTCAACTCAACCTGAAAGTCTTGTGGGCGACACTTCGGCTGAAAACATACATGAACCAGTAACAAAAAAAAAAAAAAAAAAAAAAATTTAAAAGATGTCTGTCAGTTTTTAATTCCACTTTGATTTCAGTGACTGGAAAAACTCAAATGAAAACTAGTAACATTTTGAGGTAAAGTTACAGTGTGTAGTCCTGATCCTTTTGCTCTTTCTAACCAACTAATTTCTTTTTAACCTGTGGAAGATGAGGAAAAAGCCATCACGATCCAATAACTCAATTGACTTTACTTACCTTAAAGTCATTATTGTATCTACCAAAGTTGACTCGGCCCATATTCTCTACCAAGATGTCCAGATTTGCTCCAGCCTTCCCAGTTATATTTATCATAAGTGATTTATCCCTTTCAAGGACACCTTGGGGAACCTGTATAAATTACACCAAGAGGAGGAAAACAACAACCATTGAAAACCTACAAAATTCTGCCTCTTCAACTTGCATGAAGAAAAGAAAGGGGATAAAGGAAAGAAACAAGTAAAAAAAATTTTTCCTTTCCTCCTCCTGCATGCAAGCACACACATGCACACACACACAAAGCTGTTATGTCAGTATTCACATTTCAGCACATCTACTCGATGTGCTGCTAGGCAGCATTTGTTTAACTGGCACCATCCCTTTCCTTAGCTGAAGTGAACTAACTTAATCAACTGTTAGAACGCTTGTGGCTTTGATGCACCTGATTCACACAAAGTAAGTTCTCAAGTTTAGTCTAGCAACTGAAAAGATTTTGGTGATTTCAGCGATTAAAAGGGGCTTCATCTTCCAATTAAGCTTGCATCAATATTTAGCTTTATTTATTCCCATTGATACAACATAAGGGAAGAAGAGCTTGATGTGTACAAAAAGGTGATGAGAGTCAATGAATAATTAAAAAATAGGCTATCAAAGTCCATGAATTAATATTAATTCTCATCAAGCAGGAACAAAACTCTGCTTAAAGGAAGAAAGATAGTGTTCATATCCTGTACAATAAACTTCTTTTTTTTTTTTTTTTTTAAACTTGTGGTCAGAAGCCAGTTTCATAAGGTAAGACACAGGCTAAGGCTTCCACTTCCCCCCACCCACAAAAGAAAAAAAAGGAGAATAATTAAAAAGTCATCTATGGAAACACTGTAAAAAGCCACCAAGCATATGTATCATTAATGTATTTAATGAAACTGCAAGTAGACCCTTTAGGATTTTTTTTTTTCACTGAAGTCATGAATCTGTATCAACATTCAAAAATCTCAAAAACGGAAAAAATTACATTTTCCTTAGAAATAATAGTCATATTTTCTGACATATGAATACGAACATTTGTTATGAATCAGCTGTATATGTCCTGACTTCCTTCATCTGATTAAATAAGATTATCTAATAAAGTTGTTTTGGTAAGTTGGAGAAAGGAGGGGAAAAAAAAAAAAGCATACTGTATCCATGACTTTTGTGAAGGCCACTTATAGCAGAAATGAACACCAGCAAACAAAGTTTACCCCATCGACAGAGACATAGGCACGATCATGGACTCCATTTAAAGGTGAAGACAGTTGTGTTGGCTCCGTACAGTTTTTTGGAAGCATAGTTCTGTACAGTACAAACCCAAAATACTAAGAAAAGACAAGAAAGGAAAAAACCAGATTAAAGAACCAAGTCATTCTATAGCTTCAGTTCAGGTCATGAATTAGGAATATCCCACATTCCTGCCTACACGCTTGGATTGAAACATTAACTTTCATTCACTTCAGATAGCATCTGTCACAGATACCAGCTTCGTATTAGAGTTCACTTTGACCTTTAAGTAATGGGTGTAAATTCCACAGAGTTTCCATTTTTAAATGTTTCATCAGAACATTTAATGTAACTTTAAAAGATAAGGGTCTTAGCTATGAAGGTATTTCCTCAATAAAAACAAAGCGGTTAATGACTGTCAGTATTATTTCTCCATTAAAATCAATGAAAAGATAGCTGGGAAATCCCTTGATAACTGAGTTTATATAACAAACTTGAAAGTGCACTTGTCACCCAATGCCCATAAATTGACATGTTCATGAAGTCGATAATATCTATTTTAAAAACTACCCAATTTGCATCAGGAACATTTCACAGTATTTTTCACTAAATTCTCCGCCGCGCGGCCGGGGGGGGGGGGGGGGGGGGAAGTCACAGTCATTGGATTTTTTTCTCATCAGAAGTGAAACACAAATTAAAAACAAGTAAAAAAATGTATTGTTGTCTCTTTCACTCAGTAGCCACAAAGCCATTTATCTTCAAGATTTGGATTAGAATATAACCCTGGCAGGAAAAAGTGAGAGTAAACCATTTCCATTCTGCTCTAATGATTATATTTGCATTACATTCGCAACAAGGTATCCAGGAAAGAGGCGGGGGGGGGAAAAATTAAAATATGCTACGAAGCTCTGCTAGCTGCTGCCTTCTCTCAGGAGTTTTCTTAAGCAGACTACTAAGGGTGGGAAGGCCAGAGAACGAGAGAGAAAAGCCTGCTAGAAGTTACACCCAGCCACAACTTACTACCTGCAGCTTTTCTCACATCACTGTATTAGTGCCTTGGAAAGGAAAAAAACAGAGCTCTGAATGGCTACTTGACTAATGCCATATCCCAGGTATCTGCTGAACTGCTCCCCCCTCTTCTCCCTCCCCCAGCTACTACCACCACCACATTGTCTCCAAGTAGTTTATTTTAGCTGCAAGTTATTAGCACCCATGCTCCAGTCTCCATGAAATTCAGCACAGAAGTGGTCAAGGAGCCATGTAACCTTAAAGGAAAGGCAGAGTCCCTCAGCAGCAAGGGAAAGATCTTTGACTGCGGAAAGACATGCAAAGACACCAAAATTGACAGGGAAACTGATGCCAGGACTGACAGAGGGAGAACACAGGGGAAAGTGGGAGTCAGCAGAAGTCACAGGAAAACACAGAAAAGGGTATTTTTCCTATCTCAACCAGTGGGGTGAATGACCTTGACTGTGGGTTGCAACAGCTCCAAGAGGTTGCTCCCAAAGGTTTCCCTCACCGCATTCTCTTGCCTCGCTATATATGTGTAGTAAAAGGACTACAAATAAGTAGGAGGTCCCACAGAAGCGTCAAATGGATTGCATTCCCCAATCTCCAGGCCCCCTGACTTGTATGAGAAAGCAGTGTCTCAGCCACTGTACTCACTCTGATAGCAGGTGGGGAGCGGCAAAAGAAGAACAGGATAAGGAAAATGAATAGTGAAGAAAATGACAGACTAAAAAAAGTCTCTTATGAACCTGAAAATCAATACTTCAGAGAGGAGAGAGATAAAGGTGAAAGCCTGGACAGCATTCATGGAAAGAGGAAAACCTCAGGTGCAAAACAGGAATATAGAATGTAGAATATGGAAAGGTCTCCAATGCAAAAATCCTGGACACCTTTATAATACTCTTACACCTAATCTCAGCACAGAAGTGTAAGACACTGGACATAAGAAGAGTCATACCACAGAGGGTTGTTCAAATAAACTTTACAAAATTACTGCAAAGTGCCTACTGAAGGAATCCTCACCTGCTTTAGCTGAACAAAGGTTAATGGGTAAGTGCTTTTCACCGGTCCCGCAGGTGACAGCCTGTCAAGAACCTCCAGCAGAGTGCCCACCTGCAGCATAGAAAAAAGCAGATACATGAATGTCAGTAAATTTCAATCCAAATATAACAGTTTGTATATCCAGCCACCTAGCTGCATGTCCAGAAAGCAAAGAAATTGTAAGCCTTTACATCATCCTTACAGACACATTCATAATACAATACAGTAGAGAGAACAGATGAACTCTGAAAAACATGCTACATGTGGAGCAATGTTTTAAAAATCCAGATTCTTGGATTTTATGATGCTATGCATTCATAAAAATGAAAGTGATCCTGTATTATTGAATGAGAACTAACCCAAGAGTTTCTCACCAAAAACTTTTATAAACAAACACAACTGCTCTGGACAATTAATACAAAACAACCATATTATCTAAAATTTGCTCAGTTATATGTACAATCAAGCTAGGGAAAATGCCACTGATTTCCAGTGAGTTACTCTGGAATCATCCTGAGCTAAGTAGGGATACAATTTGGTTCCATCAAGAATTATCCAAGATGAATTTACCCTATTTAGTCTTAAATAATTCTAGAACCCCTAAGGCTGTAATTCAGTGTCACATATGAGTAGCTGGACTGATTTTAGTGAGACTGGGAGCAAGGTTTAGGCTAGTCACATACATAAGTACCTTGATGAATAAGGACTTACATCTGTACAATTAAATTGCCTTTTGTTGCCATCTGCAATTTCTTTTTGCAATTATAGTTTTCTACTCATCTACAATTCTCTCTCAAACCCCACTATCGACTTTATGTTAGTCAAGATGCACACATTATGCCTAGTCTTACAAGCTCAAGAAATCGATTGCATCCATATTTTTCATGCAAGATGTCAGTCTGTTTCACCAGAAGAATTGTCACTGTTCAGTGGTAATTACATATCAGACATTCAAAGTATTTCTCAAATGCAGATTTACTTTCAAATGCTTGAGAAAAAAACAGTAAAAATATTAGGCATTTAAAGTCATGTAAACTGTATACTACAAGAGCATTCAACAGCAATACAAACTTCTGAGGTGACTTCAATAATGGAAGTGTTGAATTTTTGCAGAGCATACATGAAATTCAGCAGTGCTGAAATATTATATATTAAAATGACATTGCTGTGCAAAATCCTGTACATGACAGAAGTCAGCATGAATCATCTATGTACATGCAATCATTTCTTCAGTATAGTACTGGTTTTGGCTGGGATAGAGTTCCATTTCTTTATAGTAGGTTTATGGGGCTACATTTTGGATATGCGCTGAAAACAGTGTTGATAACACAGGGATGGTTTTCTTACTGCTGGGCAGGGCTTACACAGAGTCAAGACCTTTTCTGCTTCTCACCCCACCAGCGACTGGGGTGGGTGTGCACAAGAAGCTGGGAGGGGGCACAGCTGGGACAGCTGACCCCAACTGACCAAAAGGATATTCCATACCACATGAAGCTGGGGGAAGAAGGAAGGAAGGGGGGGGACACGTTTGCAGTGATGGCATTTGTCTTCCCAAGTAACCATTACATGTGATGGAGCCCTGCTTTCTTGGAGATGGCTGAACACCTGCCTGCCAGTGGAAGTGGGGAATTAATTCCCTGTTTTGCTTTGCTTGCGTGCATGGCTTTTGGTTTACCCATTAAACTGTCATTATCTCAACCCACAAGTTTTCTCACTTCTACCTTTCCGATTCTCTCCTCCATCCCACCAGGGGTGAGTGAGCAAGTGGCTGTGTGATGCTTAGCTGCTGGCTGGGGTTACACCACAACAAGCAGGTGACGTAGATCTAAATGGACTTTCAAAATGAGCTTCTCTCAACTCTTTAGTGAGGAACAAGAAAACAAAAGGAGGCCATAAGCACACAAAGGGTAGGGTAATGCCATCACTACCTGGAGGTTGGGTCACCCTCACTAGTCCGTAGGCAAGCATGTTTACCCTGGTAAGAAGGCTGTCAGTCAAATGATGGCTTGCAAAATTTTAATGAAAGTAGTTTGCTCTTATGTTTTCAGTTTAAGCACTGTACCTAAATTAACAATCAGCTTTCATAGTGTAAAATTCCCCAAATGCTCTGGACTCTGTATACACTCCATTTTTTATCTTCTGCTCCTCCAAGTACTGTTGAAGCAATATGCAGGACTCGGCAGGCCACAGGAGAGAGCAAACTGCCAGCTCTCGTACAACAGCTGTGAAGCAAGAGATGAGTATCTTTGCACAGACACTCACAGAGTTGATTTATAAAACTGAAGAACATTCCAATGAGCATTAATAGTCTTGGCCTCAGGCGGACAATGAAATTGGAAACAAACATAAGCAGTATTAAGATGCACGTGGTCACCTGAATGAGCTACTAACTGGCAATGAGCGCTGCTATGTGCCTTGCTGAACTGAGTATAAGCACCTTGTACATGTGCCTGTTTGACTTTTTTTTTTTTTTTTTTTTTTTTTTTTTTTTTTTAGTTCTTTCTACCAAGGGGGCTTCTATGCTGAATAAAGGTCAACCACATATGATTCACTTATGGACTAGGCTGGTAGAAGCTTGTTTCTTTGAAACTTCAAAGGATTTTTTTTTGTTCAGCTTTTCACTCTTAAGTGGCGCATACAAAAAAAAAAAACCAACAAAAACCCCCAAAACCAAAACAAGATCTGCTCTTGCTGCAAGTTCCTGTTGACCTCTACTTAGTGGACAATCGGTATCAAAATAGAAACTTAACAGTAAATTTAAAAATTACAAATACTGTCAAGAAATTTGAAAAACTCAACCTGTAAACCAACGTATTACTACTAATAAAAAATATTAATACTTTTTTTATCCTCAAGAGCAAGGTCTTCAAAGCCAAAGCGCAAGGTCAAGCATGAAAAAGCAACCCCAAAAAAATAGCTCCAACTGGAATGATATCCTGTTTGCTTAACCCCTTTCTGCCCACAACTCATACCAGCATCACCTGCTAATTGCTATTACCCGAGCTCTCCAAATCCCAAGAACTGAGTACAACTCCAGAACCTACAAGTCTACAGGTTGCAGTGCTGGTGCAGACATTTCCTTGTGACCAAGCATTCTTCAGGGCCCCCCAAGTGGTGACCAGAAACTACCACCTGCTCGCAAGCCTGCACAGCCACACAGAAACATTGCAGGCACCAAGACTCATTCATTTCCCTCTGGAAAGGATGAGACCACATTCTGGGTCTTAAACCTCTAAACCCTGTCATCTTGCTCACATTCCCTTAGCCCATCTATTGGTGTTCTGCCTTTGCCTGCCTTCATTTCTCATCTTCAGCACTTCTCTTTTGCATCTATGCAAAAGAGGAGTTGTTCATAGTCTGCTTTCCTGTCTTCTGTAGCAATGCCAGTGTCCCCAGCATCTTTTAATAAATTACCTTTTTTTCCCCACCCAGGAGAATTCTTTAAAATAATTCAATAGCTCAAAGTAAACAATTGCCTGATCAGGGAACAGAAGAGGGTTTTTATTTTTTTATTTCTTTTCCCTCCCCAACTAGCCTGGGTTCCCCAATTATTTTCATCTGGGGCAACCTATCTGTCAACCTCCAAAAACCAGCAAATACGACAGGCAGCACTACTAAGGGCAAAGATCTCTTTTCCTCAAGTTTAGGTCCTGAGTAGCTGATCAGGTATTTAAGGACTGAATTTTCACAGAATATCTTGGCGGGGCGGGGGGCGGGGGGGGGAGAACAGTCTGCTCTCGTTACATATACCTCTGTAAAGTACACCATATGGCTCCTGAAAATACTCTGGAGTTTCCTTTCCCTCTTCCTTTCTGCAAAAGTGTCAAAGGAGTTGGTTCACTGCAGTAGATTCAGTGCTCTGCAGGGCACACAGAGTGCTGTTCTAGCACTCTCACTGCAAACGACGTAGCTGGGAAGTTCACTATTACCAAAGCCAAGTCTTATAATTTAGAATATTCCTGATATTCACCCAAATACATTCAGGCTTCTTCATATAACAAGGTGCACTGGATCTGGTCCCAGCAGGGGCTAGAATGCATGATGGAGTTGGGCGGACTGCTTTGGCTGGGATGGTATGAACCCTCTGTTATTTGAGACTCATCCTGTGTTGCAGGGTAACCAAACAGAGAAGTAAACTGCTGCTGAAGTTAAGCCGTGGGTTCACAGCGCAAGAAGTAGCCTTTTTCCCAGAAAACAATTCTAGAGGCTTTCAGTGCAGATTGCAGTGTATGTACAGGCAACGAGAGGAACCTCACACCTCGCAGTTTAGACATGCCATCTGGATTCCCAAAACTGCTGGGTGGAGAGTAAAACACCTCCTCTCAAAAAAGCACGAAGTGTAGAAGATTACAAGGTGCAGGCACAGGGCTCACAGCGTGATGGCCAGGTCAAAGCTGTGGTAGTCGAGCAAGTTGTCATCCGACTCCTCCTTTGTAAGACAGGTGTCTGGGCTGGGAACCCTGCAGCATTTATTTCTTGAAGGCATGAAAGAGAAAGTTCATCATTCTAGTGAAGTTGGACAGCCTTATCTGAGAAACATGAACCATGAGAAAATGGTAGAATCAAAATCTGATTGCTCGGCTCCCAAATGCTGGCCACCTATGGCAGCAGTAGAAGTGGTGGGTGTACTGATAACGGTATATAATTAGTCACTACCAAATACAAGCCAGTTCAGTGAAACCTCATATGGCAACCCCTGCCTTAAAAGGTCTGAAGATACTCAAAGGTTGTTGAAAATGATACAGATCTGTTTCAACTTCACTGGTGAATCACTTTTATACAAAAAGTATTTCTGCCCACCACTAGAGTGGGATGACTTGAACACAACTGCAAAGCCTTATCACTACCAAATTTTGCACCTTTTCAGCTGTTGTGCATAACAGATCAGATACATCGCTGATCGGAAAGGTGGCTACCAAATTAAAAGTACAAAGTATAAAATCAAAGTATTATGAATTACAGTATCCAGTACACCAACTGCAGTAATCCTCCACCTCAAAACATTTTGTCTGTGCCCAGCAGAACAAATATAGCCAAGTTCATACCTGTTGTCTCTTCCATCCCCTCCTTAAATCATCCTCTACACTCACTGCAGGAACCTAGTTCTTAACCATATTTCACAGAAAGTTGTCACTGGTCCTAAAATGATGGTGCTACGGACAAACCGCAGCTACTCATGTGCTGACCTGTTAATACCAGTATTGTCAGATAAGATATAGCAAGGCTGGGTTCTGCATGCTACGTTCTGTACGCTTTTCCCTTGGCAGGAAACTAAGGTACTTTCTTTCATCAGCCACAGATTTTCACAAATCTTGTAAGAAACTTTTCAATCAACTTGAAAATCCTGTTGATAAACATTCCATATTCAAAATGTAAACACCTAGAACTATTTAAAAAGGTATGTATATCCTACCTGCTGCTTCTACTTCAGAGGCACCACCAGCTACAAAAACACTTGGCTCATAGCTCTCAGGCCAGCATTTCCCCAGCTACATTACTTACACATGGAGTTCTTAGACAACTAGGATTGTAATATTTCAGGCACATACTACATACTGTGAAATTGTCTTTTTGTATCCAGATAACATACATTTTCTCATTTTCCACCATGGGCATGATTTGTAACTCCCAAGCACTGCTCCCTCCTTCCTGAAAGTTTGCTTTCAAGGTTTTCCTCTTTATTTTGTACGCTATCTAAAGACTGCCACAACACCCTCATAAAAATTTTTTGCAAAAAGCAAACATACATTGCCACAGCAAGATACACAACGTATTACAGATGTTAACTTACCTTCTGCAAACGAACCTTCCCGTATGCAAATTTGGGTGTTGTCGGAGGGATAAGACCTTCTGGTAACTGCTTGTACTAGAAAGGGAAGGAGAAAAAAAAAAACAACACACAAAACTTAAATACAAACATGCTTTAACTGAATTCTCACTTTCCACTTCACAACTTACAAGGTAAGTAGAACTTTGGCTAAAAGTAGATAATCTCACTGTGCTAAAGGATTACAGCTGCATCTAGTCTAAGATGGAGGGGTTTTTTTAAAAAAAATATCTGACTTTATCACATATGGTAAATAATTTTTAATAACTACTCAACTTGAGGTAAGGGTAAAAAGCCTTAGCAAACAAGCTGCCAAAGAATCACAGTGCCCTTGGAGCCCTCCTGTGGCTAGAGCTTGTGTTACTGTCTTCTACAACCCTCCTGCAGTCATCTCCCCGGTCCATGGGAGCTTGAGTTAACCTTTCCAAGTCTATAGGGTAGTATTTCCACCTGACCCTTCCTTAGCAGCACTTCCATATGGGAATCATTAGCCTCTTGCGCCTTTCCTTTCAGTGTTACTGCACTCCACCACCACCTGCTAATCCATTACTGCCTGGCCTGGTTTCTTTGAGAAGCAGGTCTTGAGATCACAGCTTTCTGCACGGCTCCATGAACCCTTGAGGTCCCATTGCTAGCTTCCCTCTGGTCCTGGTCTAGTCAACTGCCCAATCAATCATAGAGAAACATGACAAGGAAACTGACTGCTGGCTTATTTCTGTTTACTTCTTGCCCTATATCTCTAGGAAGAACCACCTGAGATCAGCAGAGAAAAGGGGTGAAGGATGTCCACCACTTTCTTGGACACCTTTGAGGAGTGGCAAGTCTAGACAGTGACTTTCTGCCACACACCCTAGCCTCCTCCTTTCTGAGCCAACCACCACCTTTTCTCCTTGCCATCACCCCCTTCTCCCTTTCCTGCCATGACCTGCCTCCTGTAATGCCCACTTTTCACATCTGTTCTTTCATTTACTGAATACGGCCCTGTCTGCATGTTACAAAGAAAAAACTTCTGCAGGAGAGATACCCATGTGATCAAGCAATCTAAGCCTACATTTTAATACACATGCATAAATGACTGCCCTTGAAGGAGTGAAGGCTATCTTAATCTGCACAGTCGGTGACTTCTGAGCGCTTAATTTGGCACCTCCTAGTTCTTTTTTTAAATAAATTTGGTGAGTGGCTGAAAGGACTTTTTTTGAAGAGACTTTACTTTGATTTCAGCTTGAAAGTTTTAGCACAAGGTGTGATTTTCTGGGCTTACACATGGTATGTCCAGTATAAAACTCATGCTCAAAAGCTCGCCTTTACACCAAGACAAGTTGGGGGGGGTAGTGGTGTGTGTGCTGTTGGTCTTTTTTTTTTTTTTTTTTTTTTTTTAAACAGACCACAGCAGTGTAATTCCCAATGTCCTCCTGTCAAATCTCAACTATAGACTGATGAAAGCCTGATTAAGTAATTTCCGGTAACAAGTTCATTTCTCTCTGTATTTGAAAATAATCAAGATATTCAGGCTTAAAGAAAAGAAAAACTATAGTCATCCAAGAGAAGTCAAAAGTAGGAAATTTCAGCACAAATAGTAAAAATTAGGGAATGTTGTCAGCAATTGAAAGAAGCTGCAGACTGAAACCCTTCCTCATTACATTTGTTAACTGAAGGAAACAGTAAAAGGAACATTATAACGTGTGCTTTGTAACACAGCTAACATGTTGAACGCAGTCATTAGTTACAGGCAACTTAGTTTTCTTTCATCAGCTCCACCTCAAACTGCAACTGAGTAGATAGACTGTTACGGGTTTAAAACCCACAGCAGAGACAGGAAAACTTCACTGAGATCCTATGGATATGGAAGGTAAGAGATAAACAAACCACACCAAAAAAGCTGTACCATGACCCAACACACCTTAGGGTATACTGAACACTTCAGATCTTATCAAAGGTTTCTCAGTGCACTATAACACTACTTACATTTGAGACAGGGATCTTGCCTTGAAGAAAATAACTCAAAACCAGAAAGTTTGGGAATTTATCAGGTAAGAAAAGCTGTATCAAGACAGCAGGTTCCATTGAAAGGCTATCAAAATTATACCACCAATGGAAAGCTTAGGGATAATGGAGAAATTGAAGAAAATGATCCACAGCAGGCCTTCCACAGGTAGAGAGACAAAGGTGTGCTCAACCCTAAAGAAAGTGTAGTACACTTTTGGGAGATCCATTCCCATCAAAAAAAAGTCTTCTAGTAAATAGGAATGTTGCTGGCATGCAACAGGACACCAGGTACAAGCCTGAGCCTTGGGATTCCCATGGAATCTGTTTTTAAGCCTCATGTGGACAGCCATGAGGTTCCATGTTTCACTTCAAAATCCAGTTTGTAGAGATACTGTGCATTTTTACAGCAAAGGCAAAGCTGGTCCCACCCACTAGCTACAGTTTGTGGCATCACAAAACCAAGATGTGTTCATTTGGATAAGCGCGCTCCTTCTCACGGAGGCCCAAAACCACAACATGAAGCTTAGGATAGAGACAGACAAAGCACTTAGCGGCAGTGCACATCAGTCTGACATTGAGTGACAAGCCTGAGCTGACTCAATGGCTGATCGATGCTGCAAGGGAAAAGCTCTGTTCACTCCTCCTCCATCTCTACTGCCAGCCAAACCCTTCCTGCCTCCCTCTGCTCCCCTTGTGCCAGCCGTGGCTCTCATCTGAGTGAGCCCGCCAATTGAGCTTACTGACCTTGAGCTGAAAGAAGAAAATGCAGCACAAAAGCAGAGCTGAATTATTTTGGTGTCAGACCTGCACCTGTAAAGGTGTCAGACCTGCTCTGAAAGGAAGGAAGGAGCCATCGGGACAGAAAGGATAGCCAGAGCGATAGGTGCAAGGTCTTTCCCCTTTTGTAACAATAAGGCTGGCCTAGTCACCTTCACTTCCCTTACCTCCAGAAAACAGTAAATTCAGAAGAAACTTATGCCAACACAAGAGCGAGAGAGTTTGCAGTACACCAGGGATGTTTCAAAGAACCGTTCTAAACATGTCCTAGTGATACTCACCATACCAATGACTTCCCTCAAGGCAAAATATTTTTCTGTCAGATCCCCTGCTTCACTCAGTGGAGCATCATAGTCATAACTAGTGGGCTGTGGCATATAGGGCATATTAGCGCCTAAGAGAGAAGGGGGGAGAAACAATAGAAACAGTGAAAGGTTTGGGGTTTTTTCCAAAGGTATTAAATTTCAGAATTCTTTCCAATCACAGCCAGACTCTGCTACATTTTTAGATTCAATATAAGCCTTGGTATTTGGGATTTGGTGTAGAGATACTATTCCTGATGGAGGACAATGTCCTGAGCTCTCACTGCTCTGTCATATAGTCTTCAGAAATATTTACCCACGTTTCAACTGTTTCACAGGACCGAGTGAAGAAAGAGTAGCCTTTGCAAAGATAAATACCATGTGGGTTTAATACAACATGCTGACAACAGACAGAGAACAGCTAGTGCAGACATCTTTTGCCATGTGAAAGCAGGCATAGCTTATTCTTTCACTAAATATGTTACTACCTAATTCACAGACAGCTCCCCTACATCATTAGTATAATTTAAATAATTTCTTACCATTCCAATAGGCAAAGTTAGTCCCACCTATAAACATGTACCTAAAAAGGGAAAAAAATCCATCCATTTAAATCAGGTTTTGCTGAATTGGGAAAAAAAAAAAAATCCCCCAAAATTAACCTCTCCTGAACACACACTTACAGGTTAACGTTAGCACCATGTGCCAGGATTTCATTAAGAGTTTTAGCTATGGTTTGTGTGGACACAACAGAATGACGGTGCCCCCAGTGATCCAACCATCCAGTATAAAACTCAGAATTAACCTGAAAGAGAGGAAGGGCAAAAGAGGAAGGGAAAACATGAAGAGGGAACAAGAACAGAATGCCATGTGATTTAAGGTTACAAACTGTAAAAAGGAAGGAAAAAAAAAAAATCACCTTGACTCATTCAAGCCATTTTTAAACTACTATAAATACATCAAAGTATACACTTAGTTCAGCAGATTACTGGTCAAGGAAATTGAAGGATTGTTTCAATTATTTTACAGGGACACTGAAAATAATTGCTTAAGTACCAAAGAGCATGGATTTCCTTGGAACCTGTCAACATGGACGTGTTTCAGATGCTTGGCATTCAAATAAACAATGGAAGCAATACAGTCTCCACAAAATAGCATGTCTAGACTAGGTGTAATGAAAAATAAACTTTTCAAATATTCAAACTGTGTTCTAAATAATTTCATAGCACAGAGATAATCCTGCCCTCTCAACGGGCCTTCTCCCTTTGTCAAAATGGCTTCCAGTGATCTCACATCCCATTAAAGCTTGTGTAAAACCTCTAGGGTAGCTGAAAACAGGAAGCAACTTCTAATCTGCCCTTTTAACTTTGCTTTTAACTTCCACCCACACACATACCTCACTAACTCATCTAATCAGACTTAGTTTCCGCTGCTTTGTAAACATTTGTCTTAGCAAGGAAAAATACTGAAAAAAATCAATACCTTTTAAGACTAAACTAGTATTTGCAGAACAACAGTGAATGAGGATTTGACAAACACAGAGAGAAACTCCTCTATTCAGTTTTTCTGACTGACTTGGAAATCATGTCTTCATAAATATGTCCCTAAAACTGTCCAACATGCTGTTGTCAACTCCTCTCTTACTAACCACTGCAAGATTAGGAATGATACAAGAAATTTAAGTGAAAGGACATACCAAAGGGCCCATCGGTTCACTGCCCCTTTGAGCTAAGAATGCTGCTGTGACATTGCCACCTATAAGCAGATAGAAATAAAATTGAGTTGCTACATCCATGACTTTTTCAGTCCTTCATTTTACTAAAAAAAAAAAGAGGTGTGTAATATACCTTTCACATCTAGCAAAAATCCATACAAGAAAGTTACTTCAGAAAACACAAGAATCAATACCTTTGATTCCAGTGTTAAAGTTGCAGAACTTGTTTAAAATATATACATACATATATGTATGTATGTCTTTGCTTTTGAGATACATCTTCTGAAAACCCAGCTTTTCTCAGTGTCCTGGTTCCAGCTGGGATAGAGTTAATTTTCTTCCTAGTAGCTGGCATAGCATTTCGTTTTGGATTTAGCATGAGAAGAATGTTGATAACACACTGATGTTTTAGTTGTTGCTAAGCAGTGCTTATGCTCATCAAGGACTTTTCACCTTCCCATGCTCTGCCAGGGGCACAAGAATCTGGGCCAGGGGGAGGCACAGACAGGAGAGCTGACCCAGACTGGCCAAAGGGGTATTCCAGACCATATGATGTCATGCTCAGTATATAAACTGGGGGGGGGGAGGCAAGTTGGCCAGAGAGCAGCAATCGCTGCTTGGGACATGCTGAACATCAGTCAGTGGGTGGTGAGCAATTGCACTGTGCATCACTTGTTTTGTATATTCTTTTATCATTATTATTATTATTTTCCTTTACTGTTTTATTAAACTGTCTATAACCTCAACCCATGGGTTTGACTTTTTTTTTTCCTGATTCTCTCCCCCATCCCACTGGGGACAGGGGTGGGGAGTGGAAAGTGAACAAGCAACTGTGTGGTGCTTAGTGGCCGGCTGGAGTTAAACCATGACACTCAGGAATGACATACTGGCACCAAAAAGTCTGAGATGTGTCAGAATTGTTACTTGGTTATTGGAAAGTATAGGCCTGGGGTTGCAGTACCAAGAGTACGAGGAAGAACCTCTAAAGAGGAGTTTCACTTCTGATCACTCCTAGTGGCTCAAGCCATAGGGACTGGAAATAACTATTTCCATGAGCAGCTCACTATCTCATAAACGATACACATGAAAGAGTTCACAATTTCACTCTACTTGTAAGAAAACAGATTCCTGCTACGCACACATCTTTGACCGTAGAGAGAATAATGTACAAAAGAGGCCACACTTCAAAAAATATGGAAGGATCTTGGAGTTTGTTTCTTGTGCCATACGCCTATTTTGCCAAGTCCATGCAGCATATCAACATTTACATCATTAACTCTCCTTTCTGAACACACTATGGTTGCTTAGCCATTCTTCAGGCCCATATCACAGCAAATTCTGGCTGTGTGCACATTTCTAATGACAATCGTCAGCAGTAATTTTTTTTTCTAGTAACCTCTAGCTTAGAAAGAAATTAACCATGAGGGTTGAGACAAAGAACATGAAAAACAAAACAACAACAAAAAAAACAGCATAAAAAAAAAATCAGTGGAATCAATGTCAACTATTACTGCTAATTTTTAGGAGATACGCACTATGAGCAGCATAAATTGTTTATTCATGATTTCATGATGCGAGGAAGTGATTATGACTAACTGGGTACTTGTAGGTGATATTTGTACATGAAGAGTACATCAAATATACATACATGCCAGGGAGTTGGACTCCACGATCCTTATGGGTCCCTTCCAACTTGAAATATTCTATGATTCTATTACTCCTTTTAAACAAAGCTGTCAGGTTTGTCAAACATTCAAGTCAGTTTGTCCTGCCACAAACACACAAACAGAACTTTTCAGTAACAAACTGCGGTCTCCAACCTGGGGCAAAGTCCACTGTTGCGTAAAGACCCTGAAGAGCTCCACATCTCAGGTGAAACTGACTTGCGCCATCAGTTGTGAACAGCACTACCTCATCCCCAAGATGCTGGCGAAAGAGCTTCAGAAGGAAACGCAGATAGTCGTAGTCGCAAGCGAAGTAGCTTCCATACTCATTCTCTACCTGCACAGTAAAAGCAAGTCAGTAAAGCAGTAGCCAGTTTCAGTCTGCCTCTGATACCAAAAATGGAAAGCCCAAATCCAACCATCCTCTTCCTTTGACAGCAATGCTGAAAATGTCATTTTAACTCCAGACCTGAGGCGTAAGAAAAGACAACACTTCTAGTCACTCATTCCTCTCACCTCTATCTTACAGTGGAAAAATCGTGTGGAGATAAGTAATTTTCCTACAAAATCACCCTCCACATAAAAATGTCTACCCCAGCTACTTCACAACAGTGAATAAAACACAGTCTCTATTAAAAAAGGAGAGCTATGACCCACCTCCCAAGCAGAACAATAAAACCATAGAACAGGTTGTGACATGATCAAAACTGCAGCAAAATTGGAACTTCCAGAACAGAGACACCTACAAGGGGCTCATACGAACAGCAAAGCCCTGCAATGGACTCAAAGGACTGAGGAGAGAACGACAGCCCTGCTACTACTGAGAGGTATGCATCTTGCCCTTTTCCCAAGGGGATGGACTTTCAAGCTCCAGATCCAATGCCACACAGACCTGAAAGTTATTTCTGAAAATCCTGTTATAAGCAACATATTTCTGCCAAGGAATAATTTTAGCCAGTGCTTTTGCTCAATAGACATAATACATTGCTCAAGAGCAATGATCTTGGGCATATTAGAAGGGTCTCCTATTCCATCCTGTGCCAATGAGGGAGTTTAAAAAAAAATAAAACAAAGCTTTTGTTATGGTCAAATAAGAATATGGAACAATCACCACTGCACATCTGGAAGGAGTTTAAGAAAGAAGCTACTCATCATGAACGCACAACTTTGTGCCCTGAAACATTTACAGCTTAAGTTAGGTGCTAAGAATTAAAAAGCCTAAATTTTGAGGCTATTTTTGTCACAAGTTTTAATCTTACTCTGTACTGCTTTTGCTTCTATTTGCACGTATCCTTATTCCTCTTTTTCCTGTCAGGGGGTTTCAGGCAATTGCAATGTATTGTGGCTTTATGTGAGAACTGGCATGAAACTCAGTCCTAAAAAGCTCCACAAGTTTCCTCTATTGCTTTCTATAGTTGCAGGAAACAATGCAGAGCAGACAAGTGCTCTCTGAATTCTGGAAACAGTAGGGTATTCGGTTCTTTAGGATAAGGGATTTCATCAGAATCTTTCAGCTACCCAAAACTGTTAAGGAACACCTGTGACATTACCACCCAACACCCATGCAGTGTCTGCAAGAGCAATGTAAGCATCCGTGCCGTGCTGCTTGGGTTCATTTGATTTTCATAAGTTACCTGCACCATGATGATTGGACCTCCATTTTGATAGAGGTGAGGCCTCATCTTTGGCAAAAGGACACCCATCCATTTCTCCACTGCTGCCAGGTAATCTGTGATACACAAAGTATAAATGTTTCACAACTTTTCTGCTTTTTTCTAATTTTTATTTTAAATTATATATGGGTAGATTTACCTAGTGTTCTAAACACATAAAGTATAACAGAACAACATTTAATGAACTAATGTGCTCTTATACTTGTTCATAAATGTCAGCTTCCAGTATAGTTTACTAAAAAAATAAAACATTTAAATACTGATGAACTTTGAAAAATCACCAGAGAGACTTCAACAAGTCTCACACAGGTTGGCCTAATACATTTCAACAGGAAAACAAATTTGAATGTTGCTACATGTACTATTTTATTTAAATAGACCATTTATCCCACAACAAGCAGAACTGAAGTCTGATATGATTTATATGTTTGTCCCCTAATACACATTCCAATAACCACGTTAATCTCCTGTCTCATCTCATCCCTCCATGTCTGGTCCATGACAAGGTAGCACAGAAGAATGCTGTAACTAGTTCTGGAATTACGTGCACACCTACCAGCTAGGAAGGACCCCCCACAATGAGTGGCCAGTTGGCTATCGCAAAACCAAAAAACTCAAAGCTGAGGGTTACCTGTCTTTTCCTTAATGGTGATAATGATTTCTCTCTTGGCACACAGTTTTCATGAAACCTGTCATTCTACCCTACTTTGTTTATTCTATGTACTTCTTGAATGCATCCTTCCAATTAAAAATACTGAAGATTTTACTCACAAGATAACCTAAGCTGAAATACAAATTATCTAGTAATGACCTCAAACAGCACATCCCCTTCCTGCTAAAGTATATTTTTGCTAGTCCTTTTTGATGCCTCTACCTGAATCAGAAGACCTGAGAACAATAGATTTCTTCTCCAACAGCCATGCAGGAAGACCTCCCTGGGAAAAGAAAGGGAACACTTCAGTGTTACATTTTTAGGAAATGTAAGAAGAATTTATCCTTTTATCAAAACATATACTGAGACCTGAAGATTGTTTTTCTGCAGTTCCCAATGAAAAAACAAACACAAAGTAAGCTTGTGTTGTAAGAAGTTGTGTAGGATGCGTGGATTTTAATACACTAAACCAAGAGTCTTGTCCAAGGATACACCAAGTATGTTTGTCTACTTTAAGACAGAAATACTTGCATTAGATTTACCCTACAAAGGAGGTAACTGTTACAAAAGGCAGTACCATGTCCCATTCTGCACAGATGTAAGGTCCAGCTCTCAGGATAACCAGCAAACCAGTGTCATTAGCAAGATGCAAGAAATACTCTAGATCTTTGTCACCAGAAAAATCATAAACATCCATCTGGGGTTCGTGGTAGTTCCATGGCACATACCTATGGAGAGAAAAGATCACCTTCCATTAGAAAACTGAGAGTAAACCAGAACTCCGAATGACAACTGTTTGTACTACATGCCCCAGAGATCTGTAATGCCAAACTGGTCTTCAGATCAGTAAATACAAGAATACCTCTAGGGCCCTTCTTCTGTGAGGTACTTCATATAGCAGGTGGCGTTAAAATTAATACTGAAATAAGGCTTATTGCTTTGCAGTACATCTGCAGGAGTTCATATCAATGCAAGAACAGATTTTGGCAGTGCCATTTTGAAACCATGATGTCTATTGCAAAATTCAAGTAGTTAACAGTTTTGATGTTAGCAAGTCAGCTGCCAATTGTACAGTGGTGGGAGGTTTGTAAAGAGATGAATACTGTAACCACTCAAAGGAGGTGGTCAAGAACAAGCTTATCCAAAATAGTGCATGACCCTTTGCAAATGGATCACCCAGCTTGCACAGGAAACACCAACCAGGCTGAGAGGTCCATGCTACTGCCACTACAAAGAACTTTAAAATGTCTAAGCCTTCAAATGATATTGCATCTAGGTCCTGAAAGTTTTCATTGACCAGGAGCAATACGGGTTCTGGAAAACCAGCATGGGAAGAACAGTCAAGTTAGAGATGCTAAGGTGCCCAGGAGCCTGGACAAAATAAAACTTGATTTCAACCAAGTAATAAAGATGCCAAACAAGCAGATAGCCATTTGAGAGAATATCTCTCTGCTACTTCCAGGACTTAGGAAACCACAACCTCACCACAGAACATCTCACAGAAGATAAAAAAATACACTTGGTTGTAAGACAACAAAGAAACATGTTTTCTACCAACTACTATGCGTAATGTTGTAGCTTATGGCCCATGCTTGACAATCATGAGAGCTTTGGCTTGGGATAGTACTAAGTGACTGTCGTAGCATAGACAGACATCAAAATTAGGGATGAGCAAGGATTCAAGAGAATGGGTAAACTTATTCTCCATGCATCTGCTCTTTTGCATATAGGTTTGTAATCCCTCTAAGGGAGCTGCTGCCACTGTTCCAGAGAGCAAATTTGAGAAAAATTTGTAAAACCAAAACCGTGGTTAGTCAAGCAAAGATCCTCTCAGGCAACACTTTTCTTACTGTCTGGGTTTGTTTATATGTTCCAGAGTTAATTTTGTAAGAACTACCCAAGAGGGAAAGAAAGTGCAGAAAACACTGTTTTCAATAAGCAAGAAAAACAGGAACCCTCACATGAGCACACCACACTCAGACATACATGCACATGAACACTAAATACAAAAATTATAATCCTTCAGCATCATTAGTTAATATTATAGCCTCACAAATGCCAACATCTTAAGCCTTTGTTTGAGAAGATGAAGCTTAAAATTTGTATGCCAGGATGGAGGCAAAGCAATGCACTCTGACATCAAAATGCAGATTTTCCCCTCTACGTATTTTATTTCTTTGTCAGCCTGCTCTAATTGTTTCTGAAGCATACGGTTAACTCACTTGTAGAACAAACTAAATGTGCATTTCATTAATACATGAACCATATGAAAATACATTCAACGTTCACCTAGTTTTGTTCCCCTTGTCTAATTTTCAAGCAGAGGAACAAGCCAATTGCTGACATTTAAGATCAAAGTAGATGAAGTAGAAAACTACTAAAAACAAACAAATGACCAACCCGCCTCAAGAAATTGTGCTTGCTTTCTCTGTTCCATATACCATCATCCAGGTTATCACTGCAGAATAATTTTAGTTTGCTCATAATGATTCATTTAGTTTTTCCCATAAAAAGCGATGTTATTTTCAAAAACGTTGCTTAGAAATACAGATTCTCTTAAGTTATGTATATACAACTATGGATTTGTTAAGGGAAGATAAATCTAACTCCATTTGTTCACAGGAAAACTTGCCCAAAGGTTAGGGAAAAGGAAAGAAGGCGATGTCTCTTGACTTAGCAAGGCTTTTGGTACTTTGCTGTACAACATCCCTATAAGCAAACAAGAAAGAAAAAAAAAAAAAATAGAGGGTAGTTGGTATAATTAACATAGAAAAAAAATTAACCACAAAAACCAATGCACAATCTGCTGGGAAAGCAATAGGATATTTTGAGGAGTATCCCAAGTCTCACTAGTAGGTCTAACTATATCCAAAGCTTTTACTGACATCTGGGTGACATAATGTACAGCACACTTTGCAAATGGGGAGCAGTTACAAATCCATCTGTGAACATGATCAGGTTTCTAAATGGTCTTAACTACTGAGCAACGTGATCTGATATCAATAAGGAATTAAGAGTTATCACTTTTTAATTCCGTCTTGCATAGGAAAAGGCAAAAAATACAAAATGAGAAAGAAGACATATGGAAGTGGTATTAATAAGAAAAGGGTCTGCAGGTACCACCTGACTATGAATCACCAACATAACACTGCGGTAAGAGACAAAGCTCTTTCTGGGAGAAATTAACAGGCATGTTGATGTAGCAACTCATTCACTGAAAAATGCTTGTAGCAGAGAGCTGCACCTGCTTGAGCTAATTAAAGATGACTAGATATTAACTTCATAACAGTTTCTCACTGCCTAAAATACTACTACAGAAAGACAGCAGCTGCTTATACTCCTTTCTCTTTAGGCTACCAAACAAGTTATTTGTAACTGGTAAGTGAAAAACAGGTTCATATGAGAAAAGCATTCTAGCTGTAATTTAACTACACCTTGTAAACTGTTAGTTACAAAAAGATACTCATGGCAGAGTCTTATGAACTTGTTCTAGAACAAGTCTGAAGGTCTAAATATGCTTATTAGTGTCTGAGGTGAGGACAAAAGGATTTCTCCAGCTCCCTTATGCTCGAGATGGAAGAAGATATAAATTATTCCAGAAACACTTTTAATTTATGTCCCATGCTTCCCCAGAAGACCAGAAAAAAAATTTTAGTGGAGAAGGAGGAAAGAAAGTGAAGAAAAAAATGTGAAATGCTTTCTTACAGAATAAATCATGATATGAATGTATTTCAAACACTGGTGTAAAAATTACTAATGCGTTTAAATCCCCCAGTATATTTTCTACAGCTAGCAACATCCTCAAATGAAATCATTTTACTTCGAAGTTGTTATTATTACCAAGTGTGATTCCTGTGTACCATTGTACAAATTTACAGTCAGTTGTTAACGCTGTACTGCTTTAGCTACAGAATAATGAATTTATAAAGGAATGCCACATTCCTTTTTCAGACTTGAAACATGCTATTTCTTCTGTGTTTAAGCGATAGCATTTACTCTCCTTTTACATACAATTTCTAAGCTTTATCCTACAACCTTCCTTTTAAAAAAAAAAAAAAAAGTCGCAGGTTTTCCTCTCCTATTTCAGAGATATCAACATGCAAAAACCCCCGTTTTGACTACCTTAATGTACAGGATAATTCTCTCTCTAATATCAGGTTGTTTTTTTTAAACTAGTGTAAAATTAAATAGCTTGTACTAATTTCATAAATAATAGAGCAGCATTTTTATACATGCTAGTTAAAACACACATTTATGAGTCTTTAGAAAAAATAAATCGTACTTATTTTTAAGTAATTACAGCAGCTCTTTCTTAGACAGAGTTTCTACATGTTTACAGTTTTCTGCTTATTGGCCAACAAATACAGTAAACCAAATAAAATGCTGAACATTCTTTAACTTGCTATGATCTGGTTACTGCTGATTCTTCCAGGAAGCTTCTCCACCAATCTGTAAATCCTGTAAATATTTAGCCCCATCTAGTGGTTAACTGTTGATCTCCTCCATGCCAAAAACACCCACCAAAACAAGCCACTAACTTTCAGTCCTTTCCAGGTGCCTTTGACAGCATTTGTTGCTAGTTGGCAGACACAGTTCGGTAACTGAAAACAAGGGCAGTTACCCTTGTGTGACCAGATGTGTGCTACCTGCTGAGGTTGGGAGTGGAGCTGCTAGGTACGCCTCCATCATCTTCTGGGATGTCACACCAAGCACAACATCAAATTTCAACCTACTATTTGGAAGGTTTAGGCCTTGATATTTTAAGCTTTAATGTCAGATCAAGCTTCTTGTCATCTGTTTTCTCATATTCTTTTGTTGCTCGAGGTGTTTCCAGGTGCAGATGGTTATCTACATATACTGACTTCACCAATTCAAGAGTCCCAGATGAGCTGCTGACTCAGTCATTAGCTGAACGATGCATCAAGGCATAGCGAGTCTTGGAAATGAGGCTGCAGAGAACAGGAAGGTCCGGCTTGCTTTGACCACAAGGTATTTACAAGGACAATCCTGTAATAAAAGAAATCTGTTTCCCTTGAAGTGGTAAGCCTCACTGGGAGCACCTTGATACGAACAAGGAAGGCTCCAATATTTATAGCTCCCAAATTACAGCAAGACCCTTCCCTGTCTCGTGGGAAAAAACCCAAGCAGCAAAATCACAGTCTTCAGAGGTAGCCCCAAGTTTGGGAGTCCAACTACCACATTCTGCCAGAAGGTCTGGCAGTGCTGCTGCCCATTTCAGAATGACTTCACACAACTGGTATCTCAGTCCCTTGCTAATAGTTATACTGATCCAGGAAAGAGTAGGCAGAAGAAAACAAAAATGCAATGTACTTGGTTGGGCTGAGATGGAGTTAATCTTCCCCACAGCAGCCCTCATAGTACTGTGCTTTCTGTTAGTGGGTAGTGAAAGGTGTTGATAGCACACCAGTCTTTTGGCTACTGCTGAGCAGTGCTCGCACAGCATCAAGGCCGTGCCTCCACCATTCCCTCCCCTCACCGGTAGGCTGGGAGTGGGCAAGATCTTGGGTGAGGACATAGCCAAGACAGCTGATCCAAACTGACCACAAGGATATTCCATAGCATATGACATCAGCTCAGAAATAAAAGCTAAGATAAAGGAGAAGGAAGGGGAGGACATTTGTTATTTAAGGTGTTTGTCTTCCAGAGCAACCACCATGCATGCTTGAAGCCCTGCTTCCCAGGAAGCGGCTGGGAATCACCTGCTAATGGGAAGTAGACAATAAAGTCTTTGTTTTTCTTTTGTGCACAGTCTTTGCTTATGTTTTTATTAAACTGCCTTTACCTTGACCCACAAGTATTTTTTCTTTTCCATCTCATTTTCTCTCTGCCTGTCCTGCCAAAGAGGGGAGTGATAGAGCAGCTTGGTGGCACCTGGCATCCAGCCAAGGTCAAACCATCCACAACTAAATAAGCATCTAAACCAATTTCCACTTTTACCAAAATCACACAAAATCACAGCAGAGTTGTTTTGCATAACATGAGAATTCATTGCTTTATCTCAAATAATCAAGAGCAGTAAGGCTTGATTATCTGCAAACATCAAAGAAAAACAAGAGTGGTTGGAGGTGGTAGCATAGAGAGAGAAAGAGAGAGATCAGTGTCAAATGGAAAGATGCATGGATTTGATTCTTGTAGAAAATGCAAGGCACAGGGGTACCTTCTGCTTGTAAGATACACATTTAGGAGCTATCTTTTACCATGGTGGGAAAAATCCAAAAGGTAAGCAATAGTGGGGGAGAAAGTTAAAGAATCCCAGTCTGCTCTACAAAAAGAAAAGCAGATTGTAAAAATCCTGTTCTCTGTCGTCAGTGACTCAGCAACAATACCTAAGGCCATAGGCCACATAACCACAGGTCAACACTTGCTAGCTGTACTATACCTTCCATGCCTGAACGGAAACAGACTCAAGCTCTCCCAAGACCCACCAGTCAACACCAGCATCACAAGACAATCTCCACTCCTTCCTGCACAGTGGAAGGACACAGATGCAAAACAGTAAAGCACAAAGTAAGAGATCTCAACAAGTGGAAAAAAAAAAAAAATAAAGAAGGGAAAAAAACCTTGCTAGTGGGAGATTACAAAGGAAGGAGGAAGCAACACAGGGGAAAAAAAAAAAAAAAAATCCAAACAAACCAGCCCTGAAGCAATTTTACCATTAAGCAACAATGATGGGGAAATTGGGAAAGAAAAGATTCCTATCTCAAAAGACCAGTGATGTAGTAGAGACATGAACAGGCAATTTCAAAGAAAAAAAGGAAGAGACTGCTTGAAAAAGCTGGAAATTTAACAGCCACTGTCAGGACCCAGGCTGGTCTTCAAGCCAGACATCAAAAGGTATAATTTTTCAGGCTCATTTGAAATAACTTTTATTGCAGCACAAAGTAATTACATGGATGATTCCAGCAACTCTGTCCTGAGCAAGTGTATTACTTAATCCTGTTGTCGTTATGCAAGGGAAGATAGAACTTGTTTGCTTTACTAGAAAACAACAAAAAACACCCCCAAAAATAAGTCATTACATCATCACAACACAGGGAGGAGTTTTAAGACATAAAAAAAAGAACCGTAAGTCTGAAAAAAGCAACTTTTTTCTTTCTCTGCTATCTGTTCTTCACATACTAACCATTACTTATCACATCTCCAAGTGTACAATGCAACCCTGCAATGTGCAGGTCAAACAAAATACAGATTTCAAGGGAGGGTAAAGAGAGATGGTATAACACTCCCGCTGAGCAAAGTGCCCTGGCCTACAGGCTCTGCAGTGTCAGAACCAACACTGTCTGGCATTCCACAGCACACAAGCAGGCTGTTTCAAAGAGAAGCTCTAAGCCTTGTAATGATTTAGGAAAGAAAAACAAACATGTTTGGAAATTACAACTATTGCTTGAAAAGACTGTGCCTTACACTTTTCTACCATGCCTCTTCCCTTGTCAAGGAAGCTTTTCCAAAAATAAGAGTAAGCTGCATTTTTTTTTTTTAATCTGTGCCTCATCTGTTGTAATATCTACAAAACCAGGTAGGAAAGACAAGAAAGATGGACTAAAGGTTTGGTACACGTAACTGAAAGCTTTTTAAACTGGGAGTTTTTTTGTTTTAAAGAAGTACACCTACTTCCTAACCATTTTTCTCAATTTAAGCACTCCTAGTGAAATAGTTTAAGTATTACTGCAGCCTTTTCGAATATTTTCAAGGTTTCAGGGTGATACAACCTGGGCTGTATTAAAAGGTTCTTGCCCCCTCTCACATCATCTGCCTTTTGACCAGAGGTTACAATGCCCTTGGCGGAGGCAGGGCACATACAACTGTTTCATTGTTGCGAAAGACTAACTATTTCAGGTCACATTTGCACCCCCTAGTGCTGCGAAGCAAGAGGTGTTGCCTATCACCGTGGAAGTGAACTGTTAGGTATAACCTGCCCAGTTGTTCCAGTTGATGCTGTTAGAGGTCATCTTCTATGCCTATGAGGACAGGCTGAGGGAGTTGGGCTTGTTCAGCCTGGAGAAGAGAAGGCTGCGGGGAGACCTGATTGCGGCCTTTCAGTACTTAAAGGGAGCCTATAGGAAAGATTGGGAAAATCTAAGTAGGGACAGCTGTGACAGGACAAGGGGTAATGGTTTTAAACTAAACCAGGGTAGGTTTAGACTAGATATAAGGAAGAAATTCTTTACAATGAGGGTGGTAAAACACTGGAACAGGTTGCCCAGAGAGGTAGTGGAGGCCCCATCCCTGGAAACATTCAAGGCCAGGTTGGATGGGGCTCTGAGCAACCTGATCTGGTTAGCGGTGTCCCTGCTCCTGCGGGGGGCTTGGACTAGATGGCCTCTAGGGGTCCCTTCCAACCCAAAACATTCTATGATTCTATGATTCTGCCACCCTTCACTTCTCCGGAGCTTTCTCACCTATTACTTAAGAATTAACAAACCAGCTAACAATGGCAGCATTCCACTTAACTACTTCTCATCCATCTCCCAGGACGACAAATCACTTTGAAAGTCAACAGCTACTTACGTTTGAACAGCATCAAGTCCCGCCATCTTCATCTTCAACAAGCGGTCTCTCCAGTAATACCGGGGCACGCGTGAGTAGTGCATGCTACCCGAGATGTAACGGAAAGGTCTCCCATCCTTGACAAAGCAGTCACAGTCATAATCAATCCCAAAACTTCTCTGGGGTATACTCTGCATACAAAAAAAAAAAAAATAAAATATGTACAATATAATTTTTTCTGCCTATCAAGACACTGAGAACAGTCTATACAACATCTGTGGGTTGTCCACAATAGAAGATACAATTGTGTTAAAATAACTGATGGTGAATGGCTCTCCACTAGCTACATATAGCCCACCTGAGCCTAACACACCAAAAGGACTACCATACATACATACCAACCACTCAGCAATGACAGGATTCACTACTACACCAAAATACGCCGTATGCATTCTCCACTTTTAATGAGTATATAGTACCATCTTTCTACAGTGACACATTTTGCAGTTTTTTGCACCAGTGCAAATGATGCGGAATTAATTAGGGGAGATGTGGTGAGTGCCAACACTTCGCATTCAATACTTCAACTTACTAAACTATTGGAAAACACAACCTTAACTCCAACTTGACACACTCAAGTCTAGAAGGAAAAGCCAACTGGGAGCTTTTGAGTAACAACCACCACATTCTAAATGCTCCAGGGCACCGATACATGCACATTTGAAAGCTCAGTTTCTAGCAAGTATAAAACTGTTTGACAGATCAGCCTGGCGAACTGCATACGTTTATGTAAGTCACTAAAAATCAGCCATTTGCAGAGAAAGTCTTACCTTCAATACTTTTCCAGCTAAGCACACCCAAACCAATGAACTTAAAAAAGCAGGTAAATTAAGAATAAGAATCTGCACTTCCTAGGCATAAGAAAAATACCTTAATTTCAAGAGCATAGGATTACTCCTCAAGTGATCCTATGATCTTAGTAAGATTTAAACTACTATGACCAACAGCAATACTTCTTTTGCTTGTTAAAAACAAGGAACAACAGAAGATTTATTTTTTTTTTAAGTGCTTGGCCCTGTGTCTTTAAAAACTTCTAGCTTTTATTTTTTTTCTTTTTAAACAAACCTTAACACCTCGCATTTTACAGCTCCCATGTATCTTTGGCATCCCTGTCACCAGTACTACTTTTGTCTTCCATATACCACTGCATAGTTGGTTGCCTTCATGTTCTATGCCTTTGCATTTTACCAGATTCATTACTGAGCACATTAAAAAAAAAAAATCCCTTCAATGAAAGATCAGTAAAGATTTATGAAGTAAAATCACAAGTCAGCAAACGTATCCATTAGTTCTCCACACCTATCAGAAAATAAGTCAGAAGTTAAACAAACCAACCTCATGTTTCACCAGTCCAAACGAAACACACCTTTCAATAGCGTAAATTAAAAGCTGTTGAAGGACACTGGCCTTGCTCTTGAAAAGATGGGCCTTGGCCTGTCCCATATTGAGAATGGGGCTTAACAATTAGGAAATTGATTGCATGAAACAAAAGCCATGAGATTAGAAAGGCAAGAGAGATGTAGACCACCATATAACCCCAGGTGACCCCCACTACCCAAGCACCATCTACCATCTGAGGAAATCTGTCCAAAGCTTAAGTAGGGACCAACAGACCACACAGTTTTGAAGAACCTTCCCTTGGAACCACTTCCTTCTGTTAACTGCTGAACAACTTTGTTGCAATAGTGGGTACAACTACAGGTAAAGAGAAGGGAACAGAAAAAGTGAAATACAGTGGGCATGTATAACCATAGTGCTGCAAGTACTGAGACTCCTGGCCAACAACTGGACACAACTGCCAACCAAGACCATACTCTTAGTGCAACAAGACAGCAAAAAGGAGCCAGTGCAATGTGTCACAGGCCAAAAGAACAAGAGTACAAAGAAAAAACACACTCTTTGGAAAACTGGAGGACAAAATTGCTGAGTAAACATGCCTATCCCTAGGCTGCCATTAAACAGAGCAACTGAGATAACACTCTACAAACATTTGAAGACTGCAAACTCCAAGGAGGAGGAAGACTACAGTGTATTTCACCTCTGATAAAGCCATTTCTTCACCAAAACCCTAAAATAAAGTTGTGGAAAATGCCTTACATGCACATAGCAATCCAAAACATTCTGCCAACAGTGAACAAGTGAAATTGTCTGTGTGGTGGACGTGTAACAACAGATGTGAGAAGATACAGCCCTGAGCTGGCAGTGAAACAAGAACTGTAAGGGACTGCAAAGTATTGCATAGGGGAAGCTATTTAAGCCCTGATCCTGCAAAAACAGACCCATTCTTAACATTACTTAACCAAGAGTTCCATGAAAGTTGAAATAAATCTTGACTAAACAAAGGTATAGATGTGCCAGGTGTCCACAAAATCAGGACCTTACAGAGCTGTGAAATACAAAACAACTGCTCCGGAACAAAAGTAACCCAAAGGTTGGGATTCTCCCTGGGAAATGATGTTGTTGTAGTAACTCCAGGCTGTTAAACCTCAAGTAAATTACCACTGCAGACGATGCACAGGTATATGCCATCTGCTTAACTTCTTTTCAATTCACGTGACATTTTGCTGATCTTTAATTTATAACCTGCCTCTTGATTCCTGGGCATGCTGCCCCAGGATGGAATTGTACTATGTGTATCCATCCCCTAAGGAAATCAGTCACCCTAACGAACACCAAGCAGACATTTCTTCAGATGTTTTTTACTCTAGGGCACTGTGACAAGTTGCAGCATTAACGCAGAGCCAAGTGCTTCAAAATGATAGTGACTAAATGAAACTCAGAACCCAGGTGCAGCAACAACAATTCTGCAACATTAAGGAAAAAAAGGAGGATGGGGGGGAAAAAAAAAAGAAAAGCATTAGGAACAAGGACATTAGAAGGCCAATATCCCTGGAAATAAAGGACAATCAAAATAAATTGCTGTTGTTTCCCTCTGAAAGAGGATTTTAACCCCCTCACTGAAACTAACCACTGTGAAGAAGCCTATGGAAAAGACATGTGCTCCATTTATGGCAGATAACTGTTGAGAGATGCTGAACATTGAATCAACTCTTTACATAGGTCCACTCTCAGGGGACAGACACCTCTGGCAGAGAAACAAGAATTCCTTAAAACAATAAAACAATTAAAAGAAGATATTAATTATGAAAGTGATCATCACTGAACCGGTTACCACTTAAAGGCCACGCGTGTAAAGCTGCGACCATAATTGTGGATCACCTGCCTTACACATACACTTCCTGATCCAGTACTATTACGGGGGTGAGGAGAGGGAAGAAGCTTCCAGAGTATTTACTCCAATTCACCTCGTTCATTGCCCGTTGTAAGCAGGCTTCGCTTCACGACCAATTATTCAACATTCTCTTATTGTCAGTGCGTGACTCTACCCATTGCTTGCAGACCAGAGCTTGCAACGAAAACACAACCCTTCTCGACATGAATTTATCTCTGGCTCTGTCAATACTGCATGCTCACGGTTGTGAGCATACAGCGGGAATGAACTCCCTGCATCTCCCTAGAAGATGGGGTAGCGGCAGGTCTGCTAGTTTGATAAGCAGATTCAACAGACACAGAACTAATGGCACACTGTTTAGGACACCAGTTCATTCATACCACATGATATTAATGCCCACCTGAAAATTCAGACCCTTAGAGGCAATGGTGTATCTTACATGCTCATAGCATACAGGGAAAATGGAAGAACTAAAGAATTCATCTGGTCTTAAAATCAAGTAAGAAGTTATTTTTGCAACCTTAACGCTCTTTCAACATTTTATTATGTGCACATCTCTTGATATAGGACAAAAATTCATAGCTTCAGCACAGAAAACTATTTAACAGAGGCTAGAATCTCTCATTCTCCAGATCTACAAACCAGGGTTTTTTTCTTATTTGGAAAGCAAAGCAATGTGGATACAAATCCTCAATGAACCCCTCCACCTGTGAAGATTTCTAGCATCTCTCACATAGACCACGCAAACATAGAACATCCCTTTCTCTACCCCAAGGCTTAAGTATCAACACTGAGAACCACAAACACTTCATTATTTTCTGCTCCTTCCAAAAAACCCTCTCGGTATCCTTTCTCTGCCCTTGCAGCGGTTCTTTTCTCTCCATCACATCCTTATCTCTTCAGCCTGCACTTCTTCCCCCTAGTAGGCATTAGGTAAATTTAACAGTGGCCTTACCTTTCCCACTTTCCACCATGCCTCACTTAGTAGTGAGGGTGTAAGATTTTCCAGAACTAGTCAGATTTATTGTCAGTAGCTTTTTGTTGGTAAATAGAATTAGTATGTTAAAACTATCCAGCATATACTGCTACAATAAATTCTGGTACAAAATAAAAGGTCATTAGAGACATCTTTCTTGATAAGTGAATAAAGTTTTATTAAATCCCAACATTTAAAGCATTTGTTATACCACAATTTACATTTTTTTCAAATCCACTCTATACTGATTATATAATGTAATAAATACAACTTTGACAAAGTGATGATACTGTTCTATTCTGGTATTATTCTGACAGTGATTAACTCTTCCCCCCTGCCCCGTGAACTGGCCTTTTATAGGAAGAAATATATATTCATTTAGTTAAGTTCTCCAGATCAAATACATTCCACACACATCAAAACAAAAAAATTTACAAAAAAAAAAATCAAAAAAGTTACAAAATAAGCAGCACAGCGATTTTTTTTTTCATCTGGAATACTGAACACAAGGCTAAATTATGCACATTCAAGTCAAAGAGGAAAAAGTATTAAAAAAGCCTTGAAGGAAAAGTAAGGATTGCTGTCTTAGTTTTCAGAAAAGATTAATTCCTCTTACTATCAAGGAGAAAGTTGATCTAGGATACTTTCCATTCATACTTAAAAAGCAAAACAGGAAAAGTCTTTGAAGTGTTTTGGCACAGAAATAAAACATTTTAAGTGATAATTAATCATCAAGCAAACAAGCTTTCAGAGGGTCCCTCCAGGGAGTTAAAGAAAAAAACCCAACAAGATCTAAACTACACTGGGAGAACTCAATAAATTTATGAAATGATAACGTGACCACTTCTAAAAGGGCAGTGTTGTTCCTAAAAGGATACATAAAGATCTTCAAAGTGGGGACATACAAATCAATGAAAAAGTAATCTATGCACCCCTGGGACAGACAGACCATTTCAGCTAGGTTTCTGCACACATTTGGACAGAATAAGGAGAGAAATATAAAAGGGTAGGGAAAAAAAAGGAAAGAATTAATACGAGCAACTCACTGGGAAACTAACACCATATAAAACTAGCCCCACAGAAGCCTCCCGATAAGGAAACTGGTTTAAAAACTAGTCTTAATGCAGTAATAACCCTCAGCATAACAAATGAAAAGCGATCTTCCTGGACCACTGGCCTAGAGGGAATACTATTAAACCCAGAACACAGCTTTTAACTGAAGGCATGTTGATAAGTAAACAGAGGGTATCAAGGCTATCAACATTCTCTCTACATAAGACCATTTGACACTACACCACCGATGGGAAAGAAGCTCAGAAGGACCCCATGAAGGCAGTGTTAAACACATGTGGAAGCTTTGGGATACTTAAGCGGATATTATTGCACAAGCACAAAAAAAAAGTGTACAAAATTGTAAGATTTTGGGAAACAAATTATTAGTCAGGCAAGTAGAGAGCCTGGCTGGTCAGTTGTTCAGTTTTCAGACTAGAAGAGGACTGACTTCTCCGGCTCTTCCACCAACCTTCCAGTGCACGTGACACATTTACAGTATTTTTCAGTATTTCTGTGACTAAAAATGCAAGATGTTTGTACAGAGGAACAGGATACAAAACCAGCAGTTCAAAACTACTGGGGAGCGGGGGCTGAAGGGAGTAGATGAAGTGAAACTTTCACCTCAACTTTTCAAACCCTATGGTACTCTTCAAATACACCCCCCACACCTCCTGCAAAACAAGAACAGGAACTGAAGAATAAAACAGAAATGTGTCTGGTTCAGGATAACAGGAAAGCAGGAAAAGACTGAACACCGCAGCACTAGTCTTGCCTTCCTCAGCCTCCTGTGTAAGCACTGATCTCTTTTTGCTCCATGCTATACAGGTCTGCCCAAGAGGAGCCTGGGTACTGGTGGGCAGAAAGACAGAGAGAGGGATCCCTGCGGCTACGGCTGGAGACCTCGGAGGCAGAGGCAAGATTCCCAGACTTGCATTGCATTTCATACAGCAACTGAGGTGGAAGGGGAGAGAGAAAGATGTACAGAAGTAAACTCTTTCATCAACCTAGATGATACATGGACATAAATTTACATCTTGGCTTTCTTAGATGAACACAAAGATATGGAAGCAAGAATGTTTTTATTAATATTTTCTAAGATCTCAAATTTCCCAGAATGATACTAATTTGTGTTAAGTTCTCCTAAGAAAGACAGAGATAAATTCTCCATCCCTCATTATCCTGTAGCGGTTATCCTGCTACATGCCTATCAGACAACCAGGACATTGATGCACAAATGCTATTAAGGGAAATCACCTGCTGCAGAGTTTATTCTTCTTAAAAAGGACACCGCTTACTTGAAATATTGAAACCTTAAACAAAATTCAAGCATTAACCTATCTGCATTGTTTTCAAATAGCATCTCCTTACTCTTGTAAGAGAAAAATCACAGAAGAGAAAGTAAGCATAAAGAAAAAAAGCACAGAATGAAGAGAAAAGAGACTGAGTATTTCAGCTTTGGATTTTGTGCAGGTACTAGGTAGAACTATTTTCAGTAAGTAATTACTAGATGCCCAGTTATTCTCGGGAAAATGCCTGCAGAAGGACAGCTACTTTCACCCTTTGATATCAGTCTTCCCAGCTTTTTAACTGGAAAAAATTGAATTTCAGGAACTGATGCCTGGCACCTTACTGTACTGGTAAGCAGCTGAGACTGGAAGCCCTGGTGCATGCTGCAGACAGACAGCAGGATAAAGATATCCAGCCTCAATTAAAAAAAAAACCAAACAGAACCATTCCCTTCCTGCAACATTTCTAGCATAAGGCTTCTAGAGTTTACACACTCAGTGGACACGGTAGTCCCTTCCACAAAACATGCATGAGTGACTTCATTGCAAGAGACTAGAACTTCACCTGTCTGAGATTTGATAAGGCAGCTGCCTGATGGATAATAAACAGTGGAACATGAAGCAGCTGCAGGACACAGACATTACTAAACATGCACAGGACACACATTATCTCCATGACATCAGTGCTATTTTTAAATGCAGAACTGCAATAGTAACGAACTCAAAGAATTAATTTCTTCAGTATTTTAACATGCCCCTGATTTCTTTCACAGGCCCAAGATACAGTTAGTGTTTTCTGCTCAAACTTAACAGAACCTGCTGAAGTCCGCCCTAACACATCTTCTCTGGCTTCCCTGAAAAAGGATTTGCTTTCAGAGCAGAAAAGCCAATATACTGACCAAGAAGGATGGTAGAAGTGTGTCAAATGGAAAACTCCTCAAGGAGAACGTAGAATTATCTCTGTTATTTCGGCTCTGCTGCCCAGCCTCATGGGTATTCCAAAGTACATTGTCCCCGGGCTGACGTAGACAAAGGTGTTCTGCCCAACTTTGTACAAGCCAACAAAGAAGGGATTCAGAAAATAAGCCCCAGCATTTAGTGGGAACATCTGCCCTCCATGAGTATGGCCAGAGAGAATTAAATTTATGTCTGGTCTCTCCTGAAGGGCCCACTTTGCAGCAATCGGCTGATGAGCTAACAGCACTATCGCATGCTCACTGCTACAATCTCTGAGAGCTTTTTTCAAATCCATGCCATGCCCCGAGTAGCGCAATACATCTGCTTCAATATCATCAACGCCAGCCAGGCAGAACCAGTCATCAGTGCTCTTCGGTGAAACAATCTTCACATTCTCATTATGGAGTGGCCGAATGTTAAATGATTTTAACAGCTCAAACCAGTTGCTAACATCCGATGTGTAGTACTCATGGTTTCCTGTGACAAAGTAAGTCCCCAAAGGGGAGTTAAGTTCTCCAAGAGGCTCAACAGCAGGTCGTATGATCTCTGCCTCAGAGTCAGTCAGGTCCCCAACAATCACAGTGATATCTGGTTTCAAAGCCTTAACCATTCTCACAATCATGGCAAGCTTGGTCTTCCCAACTGTAGGCCCCAGATGGATATCCGAAAGCAAAACCACTTTCAGATTATTCATTGTTGAGGGCAGCTTGTGAACTGGAACCTCCACTGAATTCACAGTGGGAGGCCGGGAAGCATTTAACAGCCCAACAACAGTCAGCACAACAGTCAGCATGACTGCCAAAACTGGTTTCATCGCTGTTCTGCTGTTCTTGTTGCCAGTACCTGCCTTAGGGCCTCTCCCAGCCAAGAACCTGTAAGCCTGCTCTACAGAGCCTAGAGTGAAGAGGAAGAAGATAAGAATGATATAGGCCCCCAGGCAAGTGTAGGCAGCTAAAGAAAAGAAATAGGGCTCCTCTGCAACAAGAAATAGCAATGTAAAGAAGCTTGAATGAGCCAAAGCTAGAAACATGAACACAGCTATTTTCCATGGCATTAAACAGAAGGAGCTGGCAGCTGAAGACCTGGAGAACGTGGTGACTGTGCTTCTCCAAACATGAAGAGAGCCTATCAACATGAGGGCATTAGCAAACAGTGCCATCTGCAGCCTTAGAAGCCAACGCCGCGTCCTGAACTCGAGTTGTTCTGCCAGATAACTGCGCGATAGCATCATGGAGAAGAAAACCACTCCTGCAGCCACTGCAGCCTTTGCTTCAAGAGGCAGTTGCTTGAAGGAGATCATCTTTGCTTCCTGACTGTTTCCTTCTGTTCTGCAGAAGTCTCCAGTAGGCAATAGCGTGGTTATGAAGGGATGCCTTGGGTCAACGAAGCCTGCAACCAGGAACCAGTATCAGCCGTTTTAAAATATTACACACATTCCCTTTTTCCCAGACTGCAATAAAGGACTCTGTACATACTGCTCAGGACACGGGGTCATGCACAATCACTAGCATAAAGACAGAGAGGAGATTTCCTGATGTGAAATAAATCAGACAACTAAAACCACTGGATTCTGGCAGTCCACTTCCAAGCTGCCTGACTTCCTCAATGATTCCTCCCACACCCCCTTTTTTTTTTCCTTATATGCCATTTCCTCATTAAGACTTCCTTATATTGATGACAATAGATCACAAGAGTAATACGAGTGCTGGAAACAATCATTACAGAATTTGTAAACCCCATACGTGTTCTGTGACTAAGCTGCTTCTGTTGTTAACTTTACACATGTGTTTTCTTCCCAAGCAGTTGGCTCCATTTCAAAAGCAGGTATCACCCGACATCATTCTTACTGAATGCAAGAGGTTCTACTAACACGTATTACAGCAGCAGCAAAACCCCTACTGGAATAGCTACCAGATACAACTGCAGTCCCAGAAACTGCAGGTGATTTACCAGCAGATGTCCTTGCCTCCGTTTGAGAATAAGACTTCCCCAAAGCCCTCAAAATCAGTAGAACCAGTGAAACCCACATTGTTCCTGCTCATTTCCACTACATGCACAGTTCCCAAGACTCAACACCTATTTCAGCACATCCTGGTCTACCAGGATGCAATTAAATTGAAAAGGGATTAAAACACCACACACCCCCATGCTCCTTTAGAAAGGGAGCACTAAGTCTAATGCATCACTGCTCCCAGATTGAAAATAAATAAGCAAGCATCAGTTATGCTTGAATCATATTGGAATTCCCTGTTTTCCTGTGTTTTGCTCAGAGTTCATAGTGTTTCTACCCATTCCCAGTCTGCACATTTCTATTTAAATTAAACCTACCAGTTTATTTCAACCATAGCTGGAAAAAGTTTGGATGGTCTTTCATAATGCACAATAGAAACCAAGTTTGAGGTAACAAATTACCTTATTTAAAGTAAGCATGTCACTGCATGGCTTTCAAAACGCTTCCTGTCTTTCAGTCCACATTTAAGTAGAGAAAAATTAAGCAACTGTTACAGCCAAAAATATCTCAGAACTAGGACACCAAACCAGCCTTATAGGGCTCCGCAGTGAGCTTGAGCCCAGAAGCCTACAAACCTGAGTTTGCCAGGTTGCTTATCTGCAGCATATACTTTCCCAAGCTAATTTAAAAGAACATTACCAAGTTTTAAGAAGACCCCTTCCCTCAGTGCTTGGTCAGGGAACTGTGGGTTCATAGAGAAATTGTGCCTCCCAGCCTCAGTTCTGTGAGCCTTCTCAGCTGTTACAATGCTACTCTTAAAAAAACAGTACTATTTTACACACGTCTCTACAGAAAATAAACAAAGCTAGGAAGGTAAGAGTGTAAGCAATGCCCTCCTGGTTCCAGTCCACAATTCCTCTAGACACCAGGCCATATTCTGTCTGGACAACAGCAATAAGAAATGCTGTTTAAAGGAATGCCACTACCCTGGCCACTGTCTGTGCTCTGCTTCCTTCATACTCCTCCAGCAGACAAAGCTGTTACATTAGGGATATTAGAAGGCAAATCATCACATAGTCGTTTTGGGACACTGTTTATGAGCCTGATGTATTTTATTCTGGCTAATCCTTTTTTGGAATCTGTTAAATATGGTCTGCTTCTACAACCTCCCGTAGCAGTAAATTCCTGAAATTCACTATATACTTGTATTTTATCTGTTCTAAACTAGTCTACTAAATTCAAATGCCCCTCTTCCAATACTACCAGATTTAAGGAGCATTGGTTCTCCATTTCTCTTACCTACCACCTTCAAAATTCTGTCCCAACCATAACCCCGCCCCTCCGAGACATCTTGCCATCCAATCTTCCCTTTGCTAAGCGTCTCACACGAGGCCGTGCTACTTTTCACAGAGCTTTAACCACCTGTGCATCATTCAATTAGCAACACCTATCAAGATTAATGCTGTCGCTCTTGCTTCAAACTCAAGCCATAAGTGACAAGGCACGGCTCCCACGGCAATTCCAAAGACTAAAGGCTTGCCGGCCCCTGGTGAGGCAGCGATACGGCCTGCCACTGGGCAAAGCAGCAGTCAGAGAGTCGATGCTGAGCCAGGGCAGAACGGGAAAAACTCCTTTCCCTCTTCTCACACACCACCGGGAGAGCAAGCTTTCCC